GAATGTCCCTGAAATATTATTACAATTTGGGACAACCCCAAAAAATATGGGTATGGCTGCCAGTCTTCCTATATGACTGGTTTTAATCCAAAGCTCTACACTACACAGGCCGTCTGGTTGTTCCCTGGGTTTCCCCCAAATTCGTGAAACTGCCTCTAGCTTCAAGCTGCTGGAACATCCAACCCAAACATGTTAGGTGTGCTCCAGCGCTATCATCCTTTAAAATTAAAGTGAAAACATCCTTTTTTTACTGCGCCTTTCAGTAGTCTGTCTTAATTATAATTTTATCTTATTTTATTCTTACTTGTTTTATTTGTTTTAACTCATGCTTCTTATCATTTTTATTGGCCAGCTGCCAGCCTTTATTATTATTTGATTTAATTTAATTTTACTCTTACTTTTTAATGGTTTTAATGCCTTATTAATTCTCACTGGTCGGATGCTGATCTTAATTATTTTTCATTTTTATCCCAGCTTCTTCACTTCTTCTTCTTCTTTTTAACTGTGTTTACTTATGTCTGATGTTTTATCCTCACTTTCCACATCGTGTTTGTGGTTGCAACTGCACATGCCATGCAGCACATTGTGCTTCTACCTAAAATGAATTCTGCTTACTATACTTTATATCCTCACCAGCTATTTCTTCCAGAGCCTGGTTCAGGTTGTTATACCATTACTGAAGTATACACATTGTAAAAGTGGAACACAGTTAACTGCAGTTAATATCAATAAATCATTAAGTGGGCTACTGTTAGTAAATAAATTTGTCAAATCCATACTACAAAAGCATTCTAATTAATATTATATTGTGATATTAATCCTGCCCTAAAGTCTCCTTAACATTATTAATTTCACCTAACATGGCTTAACTTCTACAGCAACCTTTCACACCAGCAAGCACTTTTAAGATGTTTAATGAATACTTTAATTGCACTGTAGAATGAAGGACAGAAAAAGCGCATTTCCTCATTCTCTAATATGGCGAGGTCATCACAACAGATGAGACATTAGAATCTTATGTTACTTAGCAACAGCTTGTTGACGTGGAAATCAGTCCACATTGCTTCACTGTCTCTCAAATGCTGTCCATACAACACACAAACAAAAAGACCAGTGACAACATGCTCAGTGCAATGAATCCCTGTAAGCCTGTAAATAAATAAAGAAATAAAAATCCCCTGCAGTCCAGCCACAGGAGTGCCCATTACATCCGTCAGACCAGTCACAGCTCCAGGGAGCACCGCCTCCTCTACAGTCATACAAAAGGAATCGCAGGAACAGCCTTGTCCTTTCCCTGCCTCTGAAAACACAACTTGCCCTTTTCATCATTGTCACATCCATCTCCTGCTAAACTGCTCTCACACTATCTGTCCAAAGTGCTGTGGTGGTTTGTACTGTCACTAACAGAGCAAAGGTGCACAGTTATTATCAATTTTGTTTTCTTTGTAAAATCTCTTTGTTCAGTTGGCAACTTTAGATGGCTCTCTTGGACTCTATTTAAAGATGGAGGACATGACAGCTCCCCAAAAGCGAAGCCAAGACATCTTGATCACCCTCTGGCGGCTGGCTGCAATATAGGTAATAAAACCCGCCCTCTTGATGTTAGCAGATGGATCAAGGGTCAAACTAAAACTCAATTTATTTTTTTTTTGGGTAGCTCTTATCATGCTGATGTTTGTTCAAGTGTTCATTTTTTTTATAAGTTTGGTTTCAATTAGTTTTCTCATGCTATAAAAACGGGGTTTGACGACATGATTGACAACTGTGTCTACCAGTTGGTGTGCTCACGATCAATGGCGCTTCTCACGATTGGTTGGTTGGGTATACACCCAGGAACTCGATACTGCAGAGACTGCTGTTGTGCACACTCTGGCTCCAAATGATGTCACAAGCCTGTATCCAGGATATTTGGCTTCATTTTTGTGCAGTGGGAGGAAGTGGAGATGCATTATCCATCTCTATATACAGTCATTGGTAGCTACTTATAGCTGCTAGCTTGATGCTGCTAATTAGCACTACAGGCGAGCATGACATCAGCACTACCAAAGTCTATTAGAATATAAAGAGGTGACACTAGCATTACTTGAAATTACTTTAATTCACTGAGATGTTCCCAGCCTTTTGCCATTGTTATAACATCCTAATGAGACCCACTGAAGAATCTTCCCCATGCGACTCATACGTCTCCAAGAACCTGAGGTGGTCCATAGGGAACCTGCTCTATGTGGAATTCAACAGCTTCGAGCTGTCCCTCATTATGATGGCCAAGTAACGGAAAGTTTGGTTGGTAGAAATAATCTCCTGTTGTATAGGGACTTGTTAAATCAATGCAGTGGCCCTGCTCACTCATACTGTAGGAATCTGTTCAACTTTTCAACTATTTCCAAGATGTGAATATAGCTGAAGTCTAACCCCACCAGTTGTTCCGAAGGTGCTTCCTATCACGGTGCGTCCCAAGAGGTGTCTTTCAACAGCCGTGATTTGTCCTCTCCAGAGGACAGCCAGGTTCCCTTTGCCCTACACATGCATTATGCACATACATAGCTGGATAAGTGACTTTAGGGTGCAATGATATACTCCTGCTGTCACATGCTGGAAGTCAGTGAGGTAATCCCACTTCTCGTCACTCCCGTCGGGGTACTTGGAGTTATTTTTTAGTTCACAGGAGCAGGGGACAAGCTGACATCTTGGGTTGTGTTCAGGTAAACTTTTGTTCAGGACATCACTGAGCTGGGCTTTTTTTTTACAGAACAAATGTCATTGCTCTGTCACTGCAACAATTTGTCCTCTACTGTGGTCCCATTTGTATCACAGCAGTGGGTGAGTTTTTAGAAAACATAATGCCATCTGGGAGTTGTGTTTATCTCCAGCATGCTGAGATATTAAATGAAGGCTGAAATCGAATTTAAGGTTTGAGGCTTAACAGTACAAAAGTTCTCAGATATTATTGTGAGATGCGCTACAACTCCCGCCTTTTGGTGGACAGGTATGAAAACTGATAAACTGATAGATATGGCGAGAGGACTGTCAATGAAGTGCGGGTCATTCTGTGACAAATGTGGTATAATTGAACTATGACTGCCAGGAGTGCTCTTTGAATACTGAACTTCTGTATGATTTACTGGTCTATGGCTGATGGTTCTTGAGTGGTTCTAAAAATCATTCAAATCAATATTATGTTTACACTGCTTAAATTCAAGACTTAGAATTAAGATTTAAAGCAGCATTAATACATTTTTGACTACTGGGAGGCAGCACAACAAGCTGTAAACACAACAATGACATTACAAACACATTATGGCAGATAAAGAGCAACTGCTGCAGTAATTTGGAGTTGTGTTTTCACCTGATGAATCTAACTCCACATTTACTCTCCTTTTAGCTCTGTTTTGGTCTCCACCAACACCTAAGGGAAATATCTCTTTTAAGCAGCATAATGCCACTCCATGTTCACCAGTGTCTCTAGTTTGGCATTTGGCCATCCCTATCCCAGCTTTTTGGAGCCAGAAGTGACCATATTTGGACAACAGGATGGAGCTGTGGAGGAGCAACAAGTTGACTGGCTGACTGGCTGACTGACTGTGGTGACACCTAACAGACAGCCTGTCACTCAAAGAGGCCTTTAAATTTGCATGACTTCAGGCCTAAATAACATGTAAATGGGTGAGTTATATAAAAAAATTCACCCTCCAAACCGTTGTCATGAAGGTGGAAATTAACTATATAGATTAAACATGTTTTTTGTACCAGGCTGTAAAAATGTTTCTGCTGAAGTTGGACATTTTTACATAGGGGTCTATGGTCAGCCTCAAGTGGCCATTCAAGGAACTGCAATTTTGACAGTTCTGCATTTGCTAAATTTTTAAGCCCTGAGGTTGCTGCTTGGTTTGTCACAGTGACTGACCTTTTTCATTCTACACCAGTGGTTCCCAACTGGTCCAGCCACAGGGTCCAGATTTCTCCTTAGTCATTAGATTAAGGTACAGGACACATAATATATCAAGCGTCCTACTTGCATTTGGCCATGTCGTCGAGCTTGTGTGCTGTCTCTGTCAAGTAGCTGTCCGTTAGCACTTCAAATTGAAGCTGTGCGCTGGAAATTCACTATCTTTTAAAGTAAAGTGGTTTTTTTTTTTTGTTTTTTTTTGTTTTTTTTACAAATTTGACACATACGTGATTCACTTCAGGTCTGATCTACACAGTTATTTGATCCATTGTTAATTTAAACATATTGATATGTGCTGATGTAAGTTGTTTTATGAATATGCAGTCAATAAAATAGTCTCTGCTTCCTTTCTTGCACGTTGTTTGCTCAAACACTGGGTCAAGCCTTCATTTGACACTTCAAAACACATAACATCAAATTAAGATGTCTCTTACCTGGTGGCCCCATGGGTCCTGGGTCTCCTGGTAACCCCAAACCAAGCTGGCCTCGCTCCCCCTTCTGACCCCTGTACCCTGGAGACAGACATAAAACTCTGGCTGAGTACTAATACTGCAAATATAAAGTGTGTGCTGTCACGTTTACAGAGCGCTGTAGGACAGTTAGTAAGATTAGTACAAATGCCACAACATGTTAAAATCCTGTCAAGATGAGGACACATTTTCGCAAACCTTTATATCTGTCCAGGGACTCGTGCAGATTAGCCTCTTGATGATAAAAATATCACCAACATGATGGCAATTTCAGGCATCAAGTCTGCACATATTTTGAGAAAAACAGCTTTGGTGATTTGATGTAGAAACTGGCTACTCTGGATTCCCAGTTCCAGTCACAAACCTTTGAATAATAAAAGACATACTGATATCCTGTCAGAATGGAAATCATCAAACAAGCCATCTGTATGTTGGTCTTCGAAGAAGGAGGCGACGTTGGCTTGTACAGCTTTCTAACAACAACAGGGCCACACGTCTTTGAAGATTTCAAAACAGAGCAAAGTGGCTTTTTTTCAATCGATATCGACAGATATGTGGGTCACTAAAGGCATTCAGAGAGTGAATAGATAGGGCTAATAAAATGATTTATTCTACTGAAAACAAACAGATGCAGAAAACAATCATGTCTATTTGTTACAACTGGATTCAGAAACATAATTCACTTGGAGAGCAAAAACATGATCATAAAGCTTTTTTTCTGTTTGACCACAGAGAGAAAACTAGAATATCTCATGTTGAAATTATGTCCAGTCTTTTCTCTGATGTGGATTGGCTGCTGTATGATTACCTCTACGTTCAAAAACAAGCAGAGATGAACACAAGGACATGCTTAGTCTGGCTGATGAGTAAAAAAAAATCAAAGCATTTGCAATAATCCTCAAGTCAGGCCAGCAAGTGCATTGCTTATAACAATAGGCACACAAACATGTTATTCAAAGGCTTTCTCACGCCATGCAAAGCCGGTCGGTCTTTACAGCACACCAAGGAAGAATTTGAGGGGCTGCAAAAATATTTCCCCATGAGGCACTTAAAGTAATGGAGTCTCAGGACCAGCGGTTGCATGGAGTGCATCAGAAACATTGACAGGAGTATCAAGCATCGCACCGCCTGGCCCAAAGGGGAAACGCTTCAACGCTTGCATGTCAGAGAAAATCTCAGAAAAAAAGGCTTATGAATGCTCCAAAACTGAGTCTCAAAGAGAGAGGGGCTATCCACACATTGCGGCAATAATGAGACTTCTTTCAACACTCACAGAGCCTGGGGCATTCATTCAGGGAGGAGACGTTCCATGGAGAAAAGAGCACTGTACCTTAAGCAAAAAAAATACTGAATAGCACACAGGGCAATAAGCTTGGGTGGCACGCTGGATTGGTGCACTCTGATAAATCGAAAACGCCATGCTGCGGCTGCAGTTGGTTGAAAACAATGTTTTTTCTAGGGGCACTAATGGACAAAATACGTTAATAGAAAATAATATTGCCTAAGAGGGTTTTTCATGATTGATTGATAAGATTGCAGCCCCGCACCTGTTGTACACGGCTGTAAACAGTATTAACAGCAGCATCTATTCATTCATGCTATGCCTTACAAAAGAAGAAGAAAAAAACACCTTTCTTTGAGCAGCTGCTCCATCAAAGACCAATTACTGCGGGATGTTTACTGATATTTCCATATTGCACAGCACAAAAATGAGCAGCTCTCAAACACAAGGTTTACAGCCTGATATAATAAAAGACATTTTGTATCAGTCACCATTAATAAATACAAAGAAATACAAAATTAAAAATGAATGTTAAGACAACAAAATGTAGAATTTATGAAATGCACTCAAACACAATGACTTACATCAGTGAGTCTTTTCATTATGCTCTCAAAAGTTAAAGATGAATAGAATGATAAATGAGCACTCAATTACAACACAGGGAAGGGAAAAGAAAAAACAAAAAAAGAAATGATGCTCTTCAACATGCGTCCTTATGGGTATTCTCTAACAGCTTGAGACTTTCACCCATGTGAAATCAAACCATGAGGAAAAAAAGAAAAGAATGCAACAGAGGGGTTATTTTTCTCCATAAACAAATCATTTTGGCATATTGGAGAAGAAGTCAAGTTGGATATTCCAGAGGAGCACAGTCTCCAGCGGAGGATGACGAGAAATAATGAGGAAATATTACCCCAAACTCTCTCCCCAGCTGAGTGGAGGCACAAGTCAACAAAGAAAAAATTAAGAAGTTGTTGAATTTTTGATTTATCAAGGGAAAAAAACTTTCCTCTTTATTTTCAATAAATATTTATTGCAAAGCTGCATTAAGAATCACCTATAAAACACTCTTTGGAAGCATAAAAAAATAAAACAAGCTAAACAAAATCCAAGACATGTGTAATGCAAACGGAATTAACACAGCACAAATGAGTAGTGGCCTACTTTAGCTACATTATTCATGAAGGAAAGCAGCATTTTAAATTATAGCATTGGGTTAAAGTGTAAATGGTCTTGAATAATGTGAGGTAGATACAAAGAGAAAGGCCAATGCAGCGGTGCTTTGATCTGCACCAACGCGTAACACACTCCTCCTCTTCAAAAAGTTAAGACACCGTAGTTCTGCTGCGGACACAACACAATTCTAAGCAAGTTTGAGGTATAAAGCCTGACCAGCAAACCATTACTGTTGTATGAGCAGTCGGAAAGTTGTATCAGTTTGATAAAGAGCGTCCACCCTCTTTCCTGACTATGCTCCTTTTCTACTTTAGAAGCTTTCTTTCCTGGAGTGAGATATCAATACTGGGGCTCTTTCCTGTCCACACTGATAATACTTTCTCTTATTCACAGCCAATTCTTCGTTTGTCTTCATATTTCCCAGAGAGCCGCTGTGCACCACACTCCTGGCCTTTCCTCTGCTTCCCGCCCCTCAGTCTGCATTGATATACGGGTCTAAGCAAGAGAAAAATACCCATGAATCCCTACAAAATACATGTGTCAACCTATATTGGTGCCCCCACCCCAAATCCAGCTTCAATATTTCATCCGAGCTCTTTATATACAGAAAAACATCTTTAACTGAAGGCTGTGCAGTTCACTCTAGTTCATGTCAACCTGCAGCTTTATACAATAGTAGATACTGCCTGCTTAATATATGTGTGGTACAGCATATTGTAGTTGGACTACTTGGTGTTTTTAAACACATATGGCGTGTCTACACACATAGGGTACATTACAATTACATTAGATAACAAAGGGTTAATTGATTGTCTCCAATAGTTCTGAGCAATCAAAGGTTAAAAGTGTTATTTCTAATTCCTATTCCAAAAGTGGTTATTTTTCTGAGGTGGTGTTAATGTCCCGCAGTTCAGTTTGGCAACCTGAGCTCTCACCTTGAGGACCAGGAGGCCCGGGCTCTCCTGGAGGGCCTGGTAATCCATCCTTTCCAGGAGGTCCTGGAGGCCCGTGGCCCTGTGAAGCTAAGATCCCTGCAGGTGTCTTCTGCAGCATGGCAGCGCTCGATAGCTTCTCTGCAAGGTGAGAAAAAGAAAAAAAAAAATCACATTCAGAACGCAGGAAAAAAGTGGGAATAAAGACAGGTGGAAAACATGTAAGATTAATTTGGAACAATTTGTACCTTCGAAGACCTTCAAGACTTCACGTTTGATGAACACTTTGAGTTCGTCCATGAAGCTGGGATCACTCTGTGGAGTGGAGAAGAATGAAAACAACTTTGATTGATAGTGAACCAGCAACAGAATAGACACAGTAGTTATCACTGCAGGAAAATCAAACTGATGCCTGACATGTATCTCAACTTCAAGATCTCCAGTGCACTGTTTGTGGAAACCATCTGTGTTGAAAACAGTGGCAGTGAGGAAGGATTACTGCTGATTTTTTTCTGTTCCAACGATGAACTGAAATCCCACCTTGCATTATAATAACATATCTGCGCCTCAAATCCAGCTAGAAATAAAATAGATTCAGTGTGGGAATATTAAATGAGACATTATGACTCTATAAAGAGACTTCTTGGCGTTACTTTCTGTTCAATTCTATAGTTATGCACTCCGTGCTTAGGAAGAAACACATAGCTTCTCATAACAGCTCTATATGTCTCCAAATATATGTATCATCACAAGAAATATATAACAATATATGCTCTGCCACTCAAACACTGTTTTGAGTTTTCCAGGGCAAATAATAGTAGCCTTGGACCTTGAATCTTTCCAAACAGTTTTCCATCTCTGCTATGAATGTTATATAACTGTTGTGACTGCATACAGTATGTGTAAAATGTCTGTGACACACGGAGGTGTTTTTACTGCTCTGCAGAGCTCTAGGCACGCCCACATATCTCTGTCTTTCTCTCTGTCTCCATCTCTCTCCCTCCCTGACCTTCTGTTGCGCCTGGATGAGGAGTGGGAAGCGTTGAGCAGAAAAAGAGAACAGCAACCTCCCTTGCACAGCCTTGTTTGATGTTTCATGCAGAAATCTGTAGCTGCACCATTTTCCATATGGGGAACGATAACTGAGCTAGTTACACAAGCTCAGGAGGGAAGTGGGCTGATAACAGTTTTAATCATAAGGGTGCGGTGGGGGGTTGGGGGTTGGGGGGTGTGGAGTAGTCTTTGTTCGATCAGAGCTATCTGCAAATGTACAACCTACCAAGAGGTGTACATTCCCCAAATGTCCCGGAGGGCCAGGATCTCCTTTTTGGCCTGGTGGTCCGATACGTCCAATCGGGCCAGGATCTCCTGCACGACCCCTCTCGCCTTGTACACCTCTTTCTCCTGGAATCCCTGGATCCCCCTGCAGTAAAAAAGCCCAGATATAATGTCTCAGCTTTATATAATACAGTACTAGTTTAGATCTGGTTGAGTTCTACAGTTTAACAATGAAAACTGCACTTCCTGGCTGCCATAAGCTGCACCACAGTCACTATTTTCAGGCCTGACTCACACAGAGCTGTATGACTTTACTGTAACATGCTGTGCACACTGACTCATTTCTCCTAATGTGTCCGGTCAGTCACCTGTCCTGAGGTTTTGTTGCCAACTGTAAAGCTAAAACCTCATTTCACATCCTCTATTTGCAATAGATTACTGCGTAAGTGTGACAGAGCTCTTTAATTTTGCCTTGCAAATACAATAGGAAACTGCACTGAGCGTTAAATGCCTTTATCTAGTGCTTACGTGCTTGTGGGGATTAGTCATATTTGTGCTGAAGTGAAGACTTTCATTACTATTCATCAAAACATTTTTTCTGCATTATAGTCTGAGTCATAAAAACAGCTTCTTTTTAGGAAAAAAAAGGGATGATGCTACTTACACGTTCTCCTTTTGATCCTCTGTCCCCTGTTGCTCCTATGGATCCCTTAATAGAAGCAGATAAACATATTTTAAGGCTTTGTGGTTACAGAAGACAGGTAAAGAAGTAGCATTTGAATAACTGGAGAAAGAAATTATGCTGACCCCGAAGCTTTTCTACACCAAGTAGTGCTGTTCAGGAGCACGCAGGGGCACACATAATACTCCAATATTGAAATCTGTATATATGAAGCAGGGATTTTTTTATTATTTGAACCCATCATATTGACATATTGCTCATATCTACTCTAATATTTGCAGAACTTTCTGTTCTGTTGCATGAAGGGAAAAAACCAAGAGCAAGCTTTTTTTTTCTTGAATTACTTGACTTTGAGAAATGTACACTTTTCAGATGACTGTGCATTGATTGCTTCTTACTCAGCTCAGGTGTATTGCTTGTATAATATCTCCCTGTACAGTGTTTCACCTTCTGCAATGTCACGGCTCCTCTGCATCACTCCTGTTTCGTTTGAGAAACGCCTGCTTTCCCCCATCAGCTGTCTCTACTGTATGGAGGAGCTGGGGAGAGAAAATACCTGTCTCTGGCTTCGTGTCACAACATCTTGTGTCTTCCAATCCCTCCCTGTCACTCCTCATTGCTTCCCTTTACCGTGCTCACAGCAATACCTCTGGGAGCATCTTTGTATCAATTTCCTGCTGGATTACAGAAGCCATGCAAAAGACAATCTGGCATGATGTGGTTTTAAAACGGGCATCTCTTTGTGATGCCGTTCCCCCTGCCTGCTTTAATCTGCAGTACTCTGTATTCCCCAATGCCTGATGGGAGGCTTAAATCTATCATCTTGCCCACTGAAATGTGCTTCCCTGAGCATTACATTAAACCTCAAAGCAGTGTGCAAGGAGTGTGGGTAGAGGAGCAAAGCCACCTGCTAGATGGCACTGTTGCCCCACCGAAAAGTCAGGCACCATGGCAAAAAAAACATGAGGATAAAACTGTAGAAGGGCTATATGCAATGCTGAGATTTTGGTGGAGGAATATTTAATAATGAGAAGAAAACAAACTGTTGGGGTTGTCATTAAAAAAATCTTGCAAATCAGAGAGCAAAACAGTAATAGCCATAGTCAAACCAGTTTGGTATTAGACTGTATAATGTGTTAGTAATGGCTATTCATAGCAGATCTGCGCTACATGCTGTGAGGCCATTCTGTGTGATTATGAAGTAAATAGTGTATAATATATTTGATCAGTCACCTAAAAGCAGACTTTGCTGCAGTATTTGTTTCAATTTTAGCCAGGTTCAACAGACAGGAAAATGCATATTTAATCAAAGTGTCTACTGGCCTCTATTACAAACATTTTATCATTGCCTGTAAGCATTAACTGTATAATTAGGGTAAAAAGACTAAAAGTCAACAAAGCCTTAAATCTGCAGGATTTCATTTAGTTTTTATCGTTAAAATCTCAAATATGCAAATAGGTTTAATGCACTCAGGATGCTTTACTGTAGCTCGGGGGGTGGGGGGATAAAAATCTGCTGTGCCATCTTTCAGTAGCTCGGCTGATGTAAAGCACTTTCTATAAGGGGATTTGCAGTGCCTTCGCACAACTCACCTTGTATCCAGGAGTTCCATCTTTCCCAGGTCTCCCCTGCTCGAGCAGTGCAACACAAACAAAGACATTTTGTATCAGCTCCCACCTTCGATTGGATCAGCACTGTTGCACTCCTAGTAATCTCCACAGTTAATGAGATATCTCAACCAAGGGATAATGATCCTGATTGCTGTGCGAACACTGTTCCATTGTGCGCTTACAGGGAAAATTACAGAAACCATCTCTGATGGTAATTACATAGAGGATTGTAATCATCTACAGGACAAGTGATCACTAACATAACATATTTATCCATATTGTCATTGAATCATGTCCTTTTTTTCTCCTATATAATGTTAAAACAACCTGCTGATGTAAAGCAGCAGCGTGTTATTCGAAGCCATATTTCCAGCCTGGACATTGCTAGAAGGTGCTTTGGCAACATGTAGTAGTGATTATATAAGGAAGAGCAACAGAATTCATGTAGCATCCTTACAGGTACACCTTGGGGTCCCTCGGGCCCTGGGAATCCTGTCTCTCCAAGCGGCCCCCTCTCACCCTGTCAGAGAACAGAGACAGCCGATGTGTCAGTCGGTAGTGACAAAGGAAAGACACGTGGATTGACAGCTCAAAGAGAGTTAGAGGCTGAGTCTCACCGGCTCTCCTGGGATCCCTGACTCTCCACGAGCGCCGGGTTTCCCCTGTCAATCACAACACAGGAAGAGAACAGACTGTGTTTGACAGGTCCTCAATGGTGTCATATCTACAGCACCTTTGCAGCCTCCTGTTCATAATATACCAACCAGTCTATTATAGCTTCACAGAGAATCCACTGAACAGACCACAGGCATATATTAATCCAAGCCGTGCTGTGTTATGGGACTTGTGTTTTGATGGCTGCTATTCTGTGTGCTTTATGAAACATCATCGACTTGTTGCCAGCAGCGGACTTAAAGAACACAGATGATTCATCAAGGAGGAGTGTGAGTTGGCGTAAATTAATTGAAAAAAGAAATACTTACTGGAGGACCTATTATCCCAGGTGGACCAGGCAAACCAATATCACCCTGAAGGAAACATTGTGTCAAATAGATGACATAGACATATCATAAAGAACACACATAAATCACCTTCAAGCAAACCCATAGATACTGATATCTGTAACTGCCTCAACCTGTGTATAATGGATGCTCCTGGGCTCCTCACTGTTTGGACAAATGCAATGCAGGCAGGCTCAAACACTTTAAACACAAGTCTTTACTTAGAAAAATCACAAACAGGGAGTAATGATAAACAACCTCCTTATGAACTTAAGACTTCTTCATATTTCAACAGCAAACCTTTTGCATATGTCACACCTTTGACAGTATTTTCCTAAAGGATAAATTACTGCGAATGTCACAGAAAATCAAATGTTTCCACCTCTCAAGACACACTCACACACACAGCATACACAGTCACCCACTGTCAATCCATACAAATTCAGATGTGGGAAGTTGTGAAGTCACATGCAGGAGTAGTTTTGTTCCTCTAAGAAACTACTTGCTATTTGTCCAATAGCAGCAGTTCACTGTGCAGACAGTTAGACACACTTTTCTGATTTTCAACCAGCTTTGAAAAGAATGTGGGTAGTATGTGTCAATGAACTGTGGTAAACTTCCCTCCATCTTATCAGCACCCAGATGTCCCTGCTCACCTTCACTTCATCCATCATCCGCCCGATTTTTGCTAACCTTAGGGCTGTTGCCCAAACTACTAGGGGTGTAACAATCCATCAATCTGCATCGATATATCGATTAAAAAATCAGTGATCCAAAGTCATCGATGCAAAGTGTCATTTTTAGGATCTGCTTTAATCGTGAAAGTCTGTGTCAACGTCAAACAGCGGCAAGCAGATGGCAAGAAGCCAAGAGAAAAACAATGAGGATAATGTTATTTACTCGGGAATAAATCATCAGCGTGGAGATATTTTGGATTTTGGAGAAAATACAGTTCAACAGACAAATCATATGCCATACATAAACGATGCTGTTTCAAGATAAAACATGACCTAACGTTTCCTGTCTGGTCGGACATCTCACTCTGCTAACATCTCACTATAGTAACACTAGCTGCTAGAGATTCTGTCAGGAGATGCAGTGACTTAAACCAACGGTGAGTGAGAAAAATAATAACGTTAGACGTAATTAAGCTGTGAGTAGAGAAAAAAAGGTCTATGAGCCACTAGGCTAATTTATGCAATGTAAACATGCTTAAGCTAAAGGTGACTAGCAAAAAACAATTGTTCTGGTCTATGAACTTTGACGATTATTACTGAGCTAAATTTGATACTTCTGTTAAACGATGTTGTTGTTAGTCCATGTTTTATGGCTGTTGGGAGAAGTTAGCCTTCAGGGCTTTAAGCCAGATAGACCTCAAGTTTTAGGAAACAGATGATGGTATGAGTTAAAATGAAAACATTTCCTCCAGAAAGGCCTCTCTGGCAGAGAGCCCTTAAGATTAAATTATCCCATGTGCTGGTTTATGTGTGTTAATGGAGTCAGTTTAAAGTGAACTTTACTGCACTTAAGCCGTTACAATTACTAACATTCATTATGTGTTGTTTTTATCGTTTATGGCCAAAAGCATAAATAAAAGGAGTGGCAGCTTCTTCTGTAACAGACTGTGTTAAATGGGCAGATAATATCATCTCATATCGATCGCACGACCTTAAATCACTTCAATTCAAAATTGTATCGTGGCAGACTTTGTAATATCTCCAACTATCATATGATTGTCCAAAGAATTGATATAATATCGTATCATGATGAAACTGGTGATTTACACTCCTACAAACTACACATTGCACTTCTGCATTTTCATATGCCTGCCACCACGGACTCAAAGAGTATAGATGCAGACTGAGAGAGATACCTGCCCCTCTCCCTCTCAAACTGTGATCAGTCTGTAAAGCTAGACAGCACTGATCAAATATAAATCAAGATTATTTCGCTGCATTGCCTAAAATCACCTAAAATGTCTTAAGAACCACATTTTAGTGCCCTGTTTGGCTGTAATATGAGAATTTGTACACTGAAAGTGGGCATATTGTTTCCTGTATTGTAAAATGGATGAAAAAACTGAGATCAAACAATAAAACTAGGCAGTGCTGATCAAATATGAACGAAGATCGTGAGCTGCGTTGTCTATTTCTCAAATGTTTTCAGAACCATATTTTAGCTTACCATTTAACTGTAGTTTGAAATTGTGCAGTGAAATACTTCTATAAGTATTACATGAACGCATTGGCTCCAAGTTGTTGTAGCATTACTGTATATCCAGTTCTAAGACCTCAGCCAGAGATTTCTTCAGTCACTATTAGTGATTGAATTCTACACATAATTATTTTCCCTTACGTTGACTCATAACTTCAACAGGAATCTATAATGTGTTTCACTTTCACACAGGAACCATTTTTATATATGGTTTTGTAGCTGGGTATTGCATTTTAGAAATTAACACATCAAGTGGTCTCTACTGAGAATGAAGTACAGAGAAAGCACTTTTTCCCACTTTGTAATCAGGTTAGGTCACGGCAGAAGAGACACTTCTTTGGACCGATACTGTTGCTTACCTTGGCACCGGGTAGCCCTTCAAGCCCTGGTAATCCCATGGCCCCTGGTTCCCCCTGTGAGAGAAAAACACATCACCCGCTGCATCAAGACATAAAAGTCACTGCTGATATAGACTAAAGGTTGTTAGTTCCCCTTTTTGCAACCACGAATGATACTATTTTTGTCTCAGTCTTCAATGGGAGGGTGAGTTTGGTGATGAGCTACTAAAAGGTGACATGGTATTATTACAAGGCTGTCAGTAAACATTACGCATTAACAAGCAAATATAGATCAAAGCTATATAAAGGCGAGTAAATTAAATTCTGCAGGAGCCAAGATTTTGCACATTTTCACCTCTCCTCTTGATATTCTCCGTGACATATTAATACAACCCTTCACGCGTCAATATGAAGTTAATCCTAAGAGGACGATACTTCAACCTGAGTGTATTATATTATATGATCTACGACACATGCTGTCACACCTTGTAGGCTACAGATGGGATAGTAAAAGAGCCCCATTTGACAATCACAATCAGACTTGCTTTCTGCACTAAAAATAGAGACCCATTCCCAGTGCTGGAGCAAGTGATGGCCTCTATCTACCTCATCTTGCTCAAGCTGCCATGGAGAAATGCCATTACACAGAATAGTGGGGCACCGGGCGCTGACATAGACGGATTGTGCAGGTAATTGTCACACATGTAGATTGTCATGATTAAGCGAGTGCGACTAAGGGGAGAGTGGGCCAGCCAGAGGATCAGCTGTGAGACGGATTGGGGCAATTCCACCACAGCACTGGAGCTGCTCGCACAATTTATTAAAATGTCAAATTAACATCCTGGTGAAAAATCACTGTGCAACAAAACAATAAAAAATGCAATTGGCCCCGTGAGAATAAAGAATTCAAGTTGATGGGCGAAGCGTCGAATTGTTTCCGTGTCTACCTGGATTGTTTGCAGGCGTTAGTATGGGGGGAAGGGCGTTTGAAGTACAGAGAGAGTTCATAGGTTCCCACTGGCAAGACAATATGGTACAACAGTTTCATATTTGCAGGAGACATGATCATTTTTTCGCTGTGTGTTGGAGTTCTACTGAGAGTGGTTAAGTGCTCAGGCTTGAGGGTGTATTGACTTATGTTGTAGAGAACCACAGAGACAATGATAGAAAGCAACTGGAAACTCTGACTTCTCTATTTTTTGGGCAGCACACACACACAAAAAATAGACAAATATTTCATAAAAAATACACTCCAGAATGAAAAGCTTCAACTCACTACAGATCCTTCATCTCCTTTGGGACCCTTGAAAGAAAGAGAAAAAAAGACAGATTACTCCCACGAATGCGACAACCGCCACTGTACAAATCATAAATATAGTCTGAAATGACATGTGGCCACTGTATGTTAGTGTCATTAAAATTTATAACAGTCATTATTGCTTCTCTTGCCTCGCAATTTCTGTCTGTAAATCATGCTTATGTTGTGTTATATGTAGCTGTAGTCTTTTTCAAGAAAGATTAAAAATGATCAGGATCATTTAACCCAGTCTAGTTATCACATGAGCTGTAAAAACACTGGTCATTCATGTTTAAAGTTTCAGTAAGGCAAATAGAAAAACATGAACAGAAAGGGCACTTAACTGTTTGTTTATTTGTTTGTTTGTTTGTTTTCTTGTCTTGGTTAGTAGCATAAAACAGCAGAATGACTGTGGTAATCATTAATAATAAGAAAGAGCGAAAAAGTGCAGCTGACAATTGAAACCATTTCAAATATTCAGAATCGATAGGTACTGATAAAGAAGTATTTTGACAACACTAGTTGTGGTGCTCATTTTATAGGTTCAACAGAAAATGTTTTTTTTTTTTTGTTTGTTAAGCCGACAACACACGTCAGCGGGGCCGTAGGGTGGCTAACACTCACTAGTTTGACAACGCCCTTCTAGCCTGCTGCTACCTTTTTAGTGATCCAAGGTATTGATATTGATATTGTATTTTCGTTGTCTTATAAGGAGCTATTTATATCTACATATGGAGCGGTCCACTTCCATAGTGTCTGCCATGTTGTTTCTACAGTAGCCCAGAACAAACAAATCAAACACTGGTTCTAGATAAAGCCATTCACATTTTCCCATCGGTCACCGTAGTTCTACAACCTCACCGCTAGATGCTACAAAATCCTACACACTGGACCTTTAATTAAATGTTTGTTGAAACATAATGTAATGCTGCTGTAGCTGCCTGCCTCCGAGTTAGGGCTTCTGCTCAGTCGGCAGCTGAGAGGCAAAGAGAGACAGTGGGGATAAACACCTTGTAGATCCAGGATATTTTCTCATCTAACTTTGCGAATTGAGGGTTAGCTTTGACCTAACCAGAGTTCATGATTGTTGGAACACTGAAAAGACTAACCAAGATGGTTTTGTTGAGTCTTTTTTGTCTGTTTGTGTCTGACAAATTTAAAAGAAGAGTGTTTTACGATGAGTTAACAAAGCAATTAACGTAGTCATAGTTTTATGAGAAACTTGGATTGGTGTGCAGTTGTATTTTTCTATTTTTTTCTGTTTATTGTACTCTTGTTTACAGAGGAGTTGTAGTGGCTGCTCTGAGCATCCTGCTATGTTATCTGAATGGGAATTTCCATTCTACTTTTATTCTATGTCTATAGTGAAGCATTTTAGCATTTTTCCACATAAAAAAAAACGAGGAATAATTGATAAATTGGGCCCCTTGCCCCTCTTCACACTGATGAAGATGCTCCCTGATTGGATGCTCCAGAGGAGCTGTTGGGCTGTGATGGATGCAGTACAGGGAGAAGCATCCTCGAGACTGAGCTGCAGTTCATGTGCATTGTTTGCTGGGGGATATTTGAGTGTCTATTTTTCGTCACCAGCTTCAATGTTGGTTGTGGTGGATGGATCCCTGCAGGGCCTGTGAATGAATGTCTCCCAGGAGACTGGACAAGATTACAAACTGTCTGATAAGGGGGAGCAGGGGGAGCTGATAAGCAAATCGGGTCACTCTGGCTTGGTGCCGTGCAGCACAACTGAACTCCTCAGTCCGTTTTGCATGTCAGTGATGTTGTGTGTCCTGGGGCGGGTCAGAAACACCTGTTTGAGAGTCAGAAAGCCTCTTGGCCTTCACCAACCACCAGCTCTCAATGAACATGATTGACTGTGATAGGGCCTCAGCAGCCGAGATAACACTGGAGGGCTGGTCAGGTTATTTGTTATTCAGCTCTCCCAGGTTCTGTGGCTCATACAGTATCAACGTGCCTGTGTACAAGTGTTTCTCCACACTACACTGTAAAGGATTTGCTTCAGGCATAACAATGATTACGCTTACCGGAGCACCAGGAGCTCCAGGGGGTCCTAAAATAGCTCCACCACTCTGAAAAGACATTTTTTTCAATGTTACAACTATATATTTTACAATGTGGGTCAAACACATTTTAACCACAATCACTGATTCTTTTCCTGTCAAGATGACTGAAGGCACTATGACGTAAATACAATGGATCACAATGACATTATCGCTGAGTTAAAGTCATTTAAAAAGTCTTTACCTGTAGCTTGTACAGACCGCTCATCCCATTGCCCTCCACATAGGGCACACCCTGAAACACAATCAACACTAAATCAGACATTTTCTCTCTGAGACTCTCCTCACTGTTCTGTGAGTTGTGGGCACCAAGAGTCTTTACAGAAAACTGTACAGTAGGTCTGGAGCAGTTATACACTGTTAAGCCCTTAAAAGCTACATGAGAGAGATCAATAGCTCATTTGGTGATTACACAAAGAGAGGGGAAGAGTGTGCGAGAGAGTGAGAAGTGAAGAGAGGAGGAAAAACAGAGAACAGTAGACTTAATAATCCTTGAGCCGTTGGTGATTCAGAAAACGAGAGTATTTCAGAAATACAAAAGAGCACAGTGATTAAAAGAGATTCGGGTATGAGAACTAGGTAATCTAGTCTTCTTGTGTAGTTTAATAACATAAAAGAATGTTTTTCCCATGATAGATTGGTAGAGGGCAGCTATTGTAAATGTAGAAGGAGTCAAGGTTCTCATTTAGAAGCAAGCGGACGCCTGTGCCCTTTTCAGGCCACTGAGCCATCCCCTGTCCTCCCAGACTGCAGTTTATGAGACCAGGGTGTGGGGGGGCACGGCAGGTTCAAGGGGACGGCTGATGAATTATAGATTTGCCTTTGGAAGTGCTTACTCACTGGCCTTTTAAAGGGTATGAGCATGATTCAATGCCAGTGAGCAGGTCGCCACAATTTCATCGTATTTGTGCTTGTTTGTCAGTTACGTTTTTCTTGTTACACTAAATACTTATAAACTGAGTAAAATGTAAGTGTACTGATGGTCATTGCTGTAGGAAGAGATGCCAAGGCGAGGTTCTGGCTCTGACCTTTATCTGATCATGGGAAAAGAAGCTCTTTGAGTTGATTGAATGCTTTCAATGTGCCACGTGTGCTGAGGTCTGTAACTGGTCGGTAAGACTAAAATAACAATAAAATGCATTTAAGCCTACATGTATGACCTTAACAGAGGTTTTAACACTTGTTATCACCATCTGGGTCTTGTTGAGGCAGAGGGAACTTACTGGTGGCCCTGGAAGGCCTGGTCTGCCTGGGGGGCCTTCATTTCCCTGCCAAACACAAACCAGAGCAATTGTTAATAAATGTCTGTGGAAATGGAAATCAAGCACATTATCAAGCGCAGTCCAATGCTAATACAATCCACTGATATGGATCCTTATTTGCCAACCCTGAGAGAAAAGAATTTTTCTTTAAGAGATCTTGTTTCCTACACTGAAGCCCTGTTTGCACAGGACTCGTATTACTTGTGGAACTCTAGTAATTTGTAATAACTGCATCTGTGTGTCATCTGTGATTGTAGACCTGTGCAAATTTGCCAAATCCCTAATTTGTCAAGATTGCCCCTTCTGGGGTGGGAGTGAGTTGCTGCCCCAAGCGACAGAGTTCAAGTATCTCTGGGGCTTGTTCACAAGTGAGGGTAGAATGGAGTGTGAAATGGATTGGTGGTTTGGTGCTGCATCTGCAGTGATGCGGGCGCTGTGCCGGACCACTGTGGTGAAGAGGGAGTTGAGCCAGAAAGTGAAGCTTTCAATTTACTGGTCCATCTACGTCCCAACCCTCACCTATGGTCATGAGCTCCGAGTAGTGACCGAAAGAAAGAGATTGTGGATACAAGCGGCTGAAATGCGTTTCCTCTGAAGGGTGGCTGGGCTCAGCCTTAGAGATAGGGTATGAAGCTTGGACATCCAGAGGGAACTTGGAGTAGAGCTGCTGCTCCTTCGCATCAAGGGGGGGTTAGTTGAGGTAGTACAGGCATCTGATCATAATGGCTCCTGGGTGCTTCCTATTAGCACGTCCAACTGGTAGGAGGCCCTGGGGCAGACCCAGAACACGCTGGGAGGGATTACATATGTCATCTGGCCTGGGAAAGCCTTGGGGTTCCCCAGAAGGAGCTGGAAAGCGTTGCTGGGGAGAAGGATGTCTGGAATACTTGGCTCAGCCTGCTGCCCCCGCAACCCAGCTTCGGATAACTGGTTGAAAATGGATGGATGGATTACCTACCATATTTGGCAACACAGAGGTCATGTGAATCGGCATTCTGATAAGTCGACATTGTATTTAGGTTTTTCTTTTCTCCACAGCTTTTCTGCCTCTTTGCCGGACAGGAATTACGAAGGCTGTGTTGGCAATTAAAAATGAAAGTTTTGGTAGGGTGCAGGAAGCTCATCTCGCTACACAGAATGTGTTAACAAAAGCATCAAATCCATCGTAAGAACGAACTCTGCAAAGATGACGAGATGCATGCAATGACAATGTGTAACATAATCAGTTCTGTTTGTTCAACATTAAAAAATAAAATTAAGAAAAAAGAAGGTTAACTCTGTACGTCACCGCTAGTGGTGCTATGTGGTGTTTTTGTGTTGTGTGTTGTGCACATCATGTCCGCAGGATGTCAGTAAATATGAATAAAATACAGACTTCGCTTATCCTGTGCAAATGCAACACACAAAACATAGACACGTGTGTATGTGTGTGTTATAAATTATATAAGATCTCCTGGTAATACTAGTCCTGTGCAAATAGGAATTTTGATTCACATACCAATAATGAAAAGCTTTGAATTAGAAGAATTTGAAGTATTCTAAAAATCTCAATCTTTATTCATCATTATTATAGGAAATGGAGCCATTTTGTTTTTAAATTTACCAATCTATCTTCAAAATCTCCAATAAAATTACATTAAAAGGGGAAAAAAATGCACAGAAAAGTTATTAATACTCGCTGGTTTTAAGTAAGTCATATATTTTGCACATTCATGCACTGTGTACTGTATATAAAGCACAGGAATATACACACACTACCTACAAGATAAATGCTTAAATGGTAAAACACCTTACTTTATCTCCCTTTACTCCTGATTGGCCCATTGGCCCCGGTCTACCCATGAGCCCCTGCAAACAGAACAGCATCCTTACAGTAAAATCATTTTTAAGCACTGACCTCAGAAAAAGGACTCGCACGTGTTGCAGTTTAATAGACCTGTAACCATTAAAAGGTACTTTGTGTTGTGAAACAATGAAAGAGATTCTGTACAATATAAGATCACACAAAGGACAGGCGCCTTACCGGTGCCCCTGTACGACCAGTCACACCAGGAAGTCCTGGTACTCCTGGAGGCCCCTGGAAAAAGCAAAGTGGATCACCATTTTCTAAAATAATGTCTCACAATCAAACCAGAATATTTACACTGGAAACTGGAGTTCCTCCATGACACATTCAGGAGCATTAAAGGGCCAGTGTGTAATATTTGGCATGGTTTATTGTCAATCTGAATCTGAATATTCTACCCATTAATATGTTTATACAAGTGTATAATCGCTATAAAATAAAATTCGTTTGGTTTTCGTAGCCTTATAATTATGCTTTTATATATATATATATAGCAAGGGCCTTGCTTTAGAGAGGTCGCCATCTTGCGCCGCCATGTATGTACGGCAGACCGAGCAGACAATCCAGCCAGCCAGAGAGTGCGTTTCGCAGGTATAAGTAAACCGACGAAGACAGCGGAAGGAAGGAAGAAGGAGGAGGAAACAGCAGAGAGTGTTAGTAGTTCGTCGATAGAGAGTAGTGAAAAGTTTTTTTAGTTATAAAGTTTGCGAATGGACCACACTTACCACGCAACAGGAGAGAATGAACCCGAACCGTCATCTGCGAGGAAAAGAAGACGCAACTTCACTCCTTGTGATGTACTCTCTGTGGTGCTTTTCCTCCTGATGATATATCTCCCCAACGATGGTAGCACCGAATCCCATTCTGTGCATTCAGCCTCTCTTCTTGCCCGCTCAGCATCAAACACATGGAGTTTCTCATCTGTAGTCCGGAGATATTGCTAGGCTAAATCAACAGCTGAGCTCTGTTTACCGGCTACGCTGTCAGTCAGTGTGCGGGCTGGAGATTGGTGGAGCAGAGAGGGGAGGGGGGTCCCCACTCGGTATGGTAAACGAGTATGTGTGTATGGAGTGTGTCTGTTACACCAGAAGAGTCAGAGTTTGGGACGGAGTCTTTTACCCCCTGGAGTGTTACCGGAGTTTTTGGAGTGCTCAAATAAACTGGCCTTTTTCCCGAATGCTACTCTGGTCTCCTGCTCAAGAGGGATTCATTACAATATCTAACATGGCTTAGATTTCTAAATAGACATTCACCTCGTCGCTAGATAGACCTACTCCTGAAAAACTTGTGCGCAAGGCTTTTTGTCCCTACGAGGCCACCGTCATTTACCCAACGGGAGGGGTGAGTGAGTGAGCCCTGCAATCTAGAATTTGACCACTGATGTCACTGTTTTCAACCCATTTTACACACTGGCCCTTTAATGGGAAATACAGCCATAGGAGAATTCATTCCACTGTGCAGATTGTTAACTAGAACTCAATTAAGGGCTCGATACTCTGTTTGTACCTCACACCTGTTCAGGAGTAGAATGTTAACTTGTATTTGAAAGGTGAGATCCACTACGATGTGAATACCAAGCAGCTCAAAGTTTTACAGATGTGTCCTTATGCCTGCAAAGTAAAACCTTAATTACAGTCAGTCAATTTATAATACTTCCATATCTGGTGAAATAGGTGATGTGGGCATATGGCCCTGTTGTATTACTGGCTGCGCACTACACACTAAGCAGATTATCTAAACCTAAAGGGTAAGGTGTAATTTAGTGGTACAAGTCTTATCCAATTTCTCAATGCCTGGAACAGCTTTCTAGGAATCCATTAGCAACAACAATCACAGAGGTATAATACAGCACATTGAGCGTGCATATGGAAACAAAATAGGGTCAAAAGTGAACTATTTCACTGTCCAATCACGGAGCTGTGAGTCTGTGGCTGCAACCAAACCACAGACTATATTAAATAATGGACATAGTAACCATGATGTCACTGATTAGTGTGTGGACTCGCATTTTGAAGGCTCAAGTTCAGCATTTCAAACTCGATGATGGCCATCGCCATGTTGGTTGGGTGGAGGGTGGAGCTGTGAGGAAGTGAGGGGTGGATCTGACTCACAGGCTGTAGTGACACCTGTATACTGCCTGTCACTCATCGTGGCCACGCCCTTGAATATGTATATAAGCCTTAATTGATTTTAAACGGGCGAGTTAAATAAAAATTCCCCCCTACGCACAGTTTTAATGAAAGTTGAAATCAGACCAAAACCATTTTTGTACCAGGCTTTATATTAAGCATGTTCATTCTACTGTAAAGTTGAGTATTTTAACATGGGGGTCTATGGGGACTGACTGACTTCTGGAGCCAGCCTCAAGTGGCCATTCAAGGAACTGCAGTTTTTGGCACTTCTGCATTGGCTTCAATTTTTGGCCCTGTAGATTGACCTTGGTGGAAAATGACTGCTTTCTTACACAATCTGGAGCACCAGGACTGTCATCACTATCGCTTGTTGAGTTAAGTTCCCAAAGTTTGCAATTTGAAGATGAAGAATATATTCCTAATGTTATTTTACCATCTAACCAGAAATAGATTAACTTATTATCATTCACCCTTCCCGTAATTAGCTTAGATTAGGAACATATTTTTCATTTCCAAATTAAAAACTTTGGGGTCATTAACTCAATTTACCACTGGATAGCAATAATTGTCTCGGTGCTTCAGCTAAGCTGTAAGACAGCAATAATTTTCCCCAAGGCCACGTCTGGTTGCAGCCACAGACTCACAGCAAAAAGTGTGCAAATCTTTTTGTCACACACAGTTACAGATCTCCTTATGGAGAAATTACATTTTTACTCATTCAAACATTTGAATTCATTTAATTAAAATGTTTTCACACATTCAGATATAGTGATACACAATTACAGTGCCTGTGACCCTATTTTGTTTCATCAAGTGCAATTATATTGTAGAGAATACATGAAAAGCCTTTTTAACTCACTGCTATGACAACTGGGGTTATGTTCACATTTTCTTGTCTTTATAGCGCTTTATAGAGTTGTAAAACATTAAACTGTCTTAGTTTTCTACAGACATCATCTTTATTCATTTGTTTCCATAGGGCATTTATGCACTTTTGCTGTATCGTACAAAAGGCATTGTATGTGTTTCTCTCACTGAAAAGAAAAAAAAGTTCAACAGGGCTATAAAACATGTTTTTATTGAGCCTATAAAGTCTAGTAACAAGTCTGCCTGTTAGGGAAAATCTCCATTGCAGTTCAATGCTGAAAGTTGACCTATGAAATGCTCCTCAGCTCCTCTAAAGAGTGCCTTGTTTTTTAATTAGCGTGCGCACACACACACACACACACACACACACACACACACACACACACACACACACACACAGAGCAGGCTACGTTCTTTATAAAGTCGCTCCTCGGAGTGCAGAAGATAGGGCATAGTGCACACACAGCACTGTGGATAGCGTTTGATAACTTCTTTTGAAAACAGACTTTGAGAGTTGACGGGCTTTAAGATGAGGCAGACATTACAATATATTTACATTCTTTTGAAAAGCCTACCTCTCAATGTCACAGTGACTTCTGGATGGTTAGATAACTAACGGATTAATTTGTTTAGATTAAACTTTCATTCACTCACCTCATCACCTTTATCTCCTGCGGGGCCTGGGAACCCTCTCTCTCCTTTCACTCCCTGCAGGGAGGCACAACCAATGAGGGGAGGAGGGAAAGTGTTTTTCAACAACATGAAAAGGCCTAAAACTAAAAGCTGATGGGTGTAAACTTCATAATGTCTCTTCCTCTCTTACAGCACATGACTTGAAATTGCCTAGTCTGTTTGACCGTGGTACAACACTGTATCCATAGCAACAACTTCTGCAGCGAGCACATAGGAGTGTGCAGAATAATATGAGTTGTAGAACAGCTGGTTAGGCTTCCAGAGATAATCCAAAAGGGGATTTATGAAATGCACATGTCAATGTAAATCTCTATATATATTAGATTAAACACACATTATATACAATAAACAGTATCATAAAATGAGGCTATTAGTGTTACTGATTCCTTTGCCATGCAGAGAAGCTGAATAATGTATTTAGATCCACAAAAACAATTACAGTAAAAAATGTGTTTTACTGTCTAATGAGTATTTAGGCCTGATATTTGCCTGCATACCTTTGGGCCTTCTTTCCCAGGGTTCCCCATGGGACCTCTTACACCTGGATCCCCCTGTTTAGGATAGAAGAACACAATGAATAGGGTGTAAGCATTCTTAAAGGTCCAGTGTGTAAGATTTAGGGGAATCGCTGTGATTTAGTTACCTTAGAATGAGCAGTTTTAACTATATAGGGAGCAGGTCCTTGTCCATGGAGTCCACCATGTTGCACTAAATTGTTTCTACAGTTGCCCAGTATGGACAAACTGAACACTTGCTCTAGATAGGGCCATTTAAGTTATTGTGTCTGCCACAGGGGTCGACAGTGCCTCCACAACAGCCTAAACAGTGTCAGAGAAACACTGATTCTTTACATGAAACTGCTTTATTGTGGTTTAAATCACAGGTTCAGTTTTGTTTTTTTGGGAGAGGAAGATACCTCTCTCCTGGTTAAAAAAAAACACTTGAATGTCTGTATTCAACTTATCAGATAAAAAAGGCAGAACACATTAGCAGGTGCTGGGCTAGCAGCTAGGGCTGTGCAATTAATAAAAAATATTTATCGAAATTACAATATGGCCAAGTTCAGGATCTGCAATTTTTTGATGACGGTAAAATGTGTCACAAAATACCATTATAGATGAAGCACTGCTGTGCTACAGAGATGACATCAACTAAAAATCAGATTCCAGACATAAGGGAACATGCTTGTTTGGTACAGACCCCAACAAAAATCACATTTATCATTACTATTATTTTTGTTTTTCAGTGAAAACTAAATGCAAAATCAGTCAAAATAATCTGTCAAAATAATCGCTGTATGATTTTTCTTGCATATCGTGCAGCCCTACTAGCAGTCAGCCAGCAAGGAGCAGAGCAGAAACACTGATTTGTGATGTAAAACTCCTTATTCAGTGTTTCTTCTGGTTTTAATCACCTGGTCCATTTGTTTAGGAGAGGAAGAGATCTCTGCAAATAATTCAGCTCCCAGTAAAAACTTCAACACTGAATCCTAACTGGGAGCTCATGCTTGGCACACAGGAGAAGTTTCCACTGGCTGTAAGCTGCACTCCTCACCGCTTTATGCCAGTAAATCCTACACACTTCTCCTCTAAAGCATTCAATGAGCAGCCCCAAGAGTAAATTTAACAGGTGCCATGTAATGCAAAGATAAACATGCTTGTTCCAAATTGCCTGCCATGCTGACGGGTTACTTGTACCTTTTCCCCCACCATGCCTTCTACTCCTTGTGCTCCAAAGGACCCCTTCTCTCCCTTCTGCCCAGGAAGCCCTGGGACTCTCGTCTGGCACACACTGCAGGCATTCTGCCAGCACAGGCAAGGCAGGAAGCAAAAGTGGTGGCACAGATAAGATTTCATCAAGTTGAGCCGGAGCACTGCATTTTTGCCTTTTTATTATGTCACATCCCCTGGGTGGAGGACGAGACCCCAACTGACACAAAGTGTTCTCTAAATGTCTGCAGAGCACAATAATGTGAACCAACCAAGAGTGTCTCCAAGAGTGTCTCTCGTCTAGGTGAGTGGTGAACTTTGTCAAACTCATCGACTGTGACATTTAGGTGAGAATCTTAAATATCATTGTCCCTGATCCAGTCTAGATATAGGCACTGCACCTGCCAGGAAATAGCGAGGTACTCTAAATTGGAGGGAGGTGGTGGTTACAAGTATAGCAGTGCACCATTAAAAAGCAGCATTAAAAAGAAGGCTGAAATAAAAAATTAAAAATAATCTCAACGTACTCGTCATCTAATTACCCTCCAAGAGTCAAAGAAAATGCTATCAATAAAACAAAATAAGAAAAGCGTGCCATTACTGAGGATGAAAAGAAACTAGAAAAACATGGAGTTGAGTGTGTTTAGTCATTTTTGTATGTGTCATCAAGGTGTTGAAAGCATTAATTAGAGTGCCACTAAGCAATTGGGATGAAGGCAGTAAACAGTAGCTGAATCTAGCAGAGCACTTAATGGATCAAATAAGTTGACACTGACACTGAGGGGTGACAGAAAATTATAAGACTACTGGCGTTTGGCTTTATCTCCAATAACGAGTCATGTGATGGCATTATATTTATTGTAAGAGTTGACATCCATTACATATTAAAAATTAAAAACCGTTATTTAGCTAAGTGCTGTCCTGCAGGTAACATCATTGAGAAAGGTGATTCACCTGCTTTAGTCGAAAGAAAAAAAGAACAAATCTGTCATTTGCATGGATTTGGATGGAAACGGGCCATTATGAAAGGTAACAGCCACCAGAGAGAATATCAATCTCAGGTAATAATAAAAGTGTTTCACATTATGTTTGCATTTGGTCAGGGATTGATGAAAAAACTTGAGGCGATGAACGAGTTGGAACACAGTTTTAAAGTGAGAAAGTAAAGATACAAGCTGAAAGTCTGGTGGATTTGGGGACAAGACTTCTTTCAAAGTAAGAGTGCTTTAGCATTCTTACCAAATGCTTTAACGTGAAGTAATTGGAGGTGAAGGTTTAAGTGACAAGGGAAATCTAACAGAGGAAATTAAATTAAAGCATCTCAGAAGTAAGAGAAGTGAGAGCTACTCTCAAAGGCTTATTTGTTTTTGGGAGGGGGGGTTGAATAAGATCTGGAATGACCCTTGCTATGAAGCAACATACGAGGCAACATTGTGATGTTAGATTTACATAAATATAATTTTTGCTTTTGTTATGCCATCTTTATTTAGTTGATTTAAACATGTCATTACAGAAACAATTCACCCGAGAATTTTAATTAATTTAATGACAAACAGATATGCTGTCACAGAGTTATGGTCGCTGCTAATCTTGATCTTCCATCTGCACTGGTTATATCGTGGTCATATGCTATCATGTATATCAGAATTTAAAGAGTCTAAAGCTATTTTAATCATAATAGGACAAACATAATGGATTACACAATGGCATTGGTTATTGCTGCCCCATTAAGACTGATTGGTGCATCATGCAGCAAAGTCATCCCCTAAATTATGTATATAAATCTTTTTGTGTCTCGCATGCAGCAAAAGAGAGAGCAATTATTATTGACAGCAATTTGCACTTTTTCACAATTCACACTACAAACGCTTTTTACACTAGGGATGATTGCTGTGAAATAAACCAATGTCTGACTCCTCGTATGGTGGGAGGAAAACTGCCACATAGCAACAATAATTTCTGCTAAAACTACAATTACAGTACAATTGCATATCTGCAGAGGAGTTTAATGATCTTCTGATACAGTAATCTTTGTGCACTCAATATTTACAATGCACTGGTGTGATATTCCTACATCCCATTACCTTAATTGACAGTTGGTATTTGTCATACAGTACGGTGTGAATGTGCACCTGTGGTGAATGAACAAGCCTGGATTTGTTGTGAAATTATTTGAATGTCTTTTCTACACTACTTCTCCCTGTCATCCTGATGGAGGCACTCGAGGGCTTTTGCTATCCCTCTAAACTGACAGCATCCATACATTAGTGAAATAGCACTGAACAAATATTAATCATGTTTAAATACTAACCAAGGCACCCCTTTGCATGTTATTGTATTTGATAAGCTGCAATTATCATTAATTAGGTGGATAACATACCTTGAGTATTGCACCCATGTCTCCAACAATTGGCAGGGCAGTCTGTCAGAGAAAGAAGAAAGAAAACAATCCTTGAAACGTTGCCACAGTTGTAAATTCAGAGCTAACAAATCTTTCATGTTTTAGAAATATTCTGCTGTTGTTTGTTTGATGCAACTGCATCTGCTAAATTGCTCGAAACATCAATTTAAAGGAGCATCTTATATGCCTTTAAGGAATGTGATTCTACCAGAAACATTTTTAACAAATCTCTGTTTCAGTGTTTCATTTTCAGTTTCTATCTGCAACGCTTGAGGAAACAGTTTAATAACTTTGTTGCTGGAAGACACCGTCCTCACATCTTCAAAATATTGTTGTTGTCTAGAGCTGAGGAAAATGCTTTTGAATTGCAGCCTGTGTATCTTTTAAAAACATAAAATGGACAATAAATGGGCTCTTTACAATGTATGAATATGAATAGGTTAAAATGCTACATCTACAAGGCTTCAGCAGCAGCACTCGTATTGTGCTCACACCCACCCATCAAAACTATAGTAAATGTCGCTTACTTGAAACGCATGAAAAGACTAGAAAGAGATGAAAACATGTGCTAACAACAGGGTGCTGCCAATTTGTCGTAAACGGCAACATTTTTCCTGAAAGTGATGCTGGTTAGTGAACAGCGGGACTAGCTGCTAATTACCCCAAAACTGGAGCTGCACTGTTAATGGTGACTTTAAGGTGAGCTCAGTGGATCACTGATGCTGAACAGCAGAAAGTAAAAATGAGGTTTTCTCACTTACTGGTTCACCTGGGGGTCCGGCAGGGCCCGGGGGGCCTGGCCTACCAGGAGGGCCCTTTAATTGAGACAAAGAAAAAAGTTAACAATCCCCATGGCCATGATATCAAGCAGACATACAAGGCCATAACTCGGCTTTCACACCCATCTCAGCTGGTGGGGATTTGTGTCCAGGAGCCATTATACATTGAACTTGTTCATCCACAGTGGTAGCTGACATTCTTTTATGCTTCCAGCCATCTTTTATCTGCACATGTGTGAGGGAGCGAATAAGAGTGGAGGGACTGACTGATCTTACTTACCTCCCTTCCTGAAACCCCAGGAGGGCCAGATAAACCCGGGGGTCCACGAGGGCCCTGAAAAACACCCAGACACTCTGATGAATTTAACAATCTTGCCTCACACAACCAGATAACAACTTACAACCACTGCAGTGTTATTTGTATTATAAAATAATTGCAAGACTGCTGGCTGCAGCATCAGCCAGCTAAAAATCAGTAAAAAAAATAAACTTGAGCATGTTTGTGTGTTGTGCATCCAGAGAATTTTCCTCATACCTCAATTCCCGGCTTTCCTGGGGGTCCCATGCGGCCCTAAGAACACATCACACATCTTGTTAACACTATCTGCCCTCTAGCACCCGGGATCCAATAAAGGAATTGTGTTAGACACCTTTTGCTCTATTGATTCTCTGTCTCCAACAATCCTGCATTTCAGAAATGAAAGCAGACTCACTCACAATCAAATCTGTGTGAGGTTCAAACTAGCGGTGCAGAGCATATATATGATAAAGGGAGGGGGCAATACGCCAGCACCTCACGGTAATGACCAGCGTTTTCATCTGGGAGAGCATTAAGCGAATGCTGATTTTGATATTCAAAGTGGATGTCTTTCTTTACTCTATGCCTACAGACTATAACCTGCAGTTATTGTTGTTTGAGCTAAATAATGAATGTGGGAGACACAGACAAATCAATACGTCATACTCACAGGCGAGCCTATGATAGTCTCCCCAGGTTCGCCTTTTTCACCGTGGTCTCCTGGCAATCCTGGGACACCTCTTTCACCCTGACAAAAATACAAGTCAGAAGTCAGTTTCAGTGAAAGTGAATCCAGAAGTCATGGAGCTGCTGCACTGCATGATCATTAACTATTCAAACTCTGCCAGAACTCATTTTCCCTTTATGTTTTGCCTTTAGAAGCTTCAAGGGTAAGAAACACAACTTCATTCAAGGCCGATGGCATGCAGGCGTGTTCATGGTGTATTTATTTTGCATTTATGCTTGTGTTGAGATATACAGTGTTCAAATGTAACACTATTTTTTTCGGTGATAACACCTTTCATAATTGGGACATGTTTATTGCATTATTACCCAAAGCTGCTAACAAATGCAACATGATATCATCAGAAAGTCTTGAAGTCTTTACCACAGTTTATAATTAAATGAGCTCTATACAATATTCAGAGTGTATCTAGGATTCAGAGGTCGTCTGAACACAGCTCTCAACATGGAAGTGGATTGAGGCGGCAGCTAGCAGCTAACAGTGCTAACAATGGCTAGCTCATGGTGTTAGCGTGTAGAGGAAACTAAACTTCTGTGACACCGCCATCCTACAATCAGTGGCAATGTGAGTGCAGTAAGGAGTGGCCACTATTAGTTAGCCAGGGAGATACACACACAGGACTCACATGCACACATGGTCAGACTGGCTACCACAACACGGAAGAGAGAAGCTCCGATTACGACACACACAAAGGGACTTCATTCTCTGCTCAGGACGCCATTACTCCACCATTACTTACATAGCAAATAAATGCTGGTATATTAATGTTCTGAATATCATATGTACATACAGTATGCAAGTATATCTTCACATATCTATCTCAATATAGACATGCTGCATATTGTTAGCTCGGTTTATTTCAATTTACCGAAACCATGAGCGCCAGAGAAGACCGTAAGTCATTCAGATTTACTGGCATGACGAAAAAACAAGTGGTGATGCCCTCTTTATCTGAAGTTGTCATATAGTCAGAATGTGTGTCCATTCCTCAATTACACAGTAAGTTATTTATAAGGGCTCACCAATCAAAAGAAAAGTGTTTTCCACAAAAATTAATCCAAGTTGTGAATATTGTTTTAACAGGATAAAGTAGTGTTGGTATGCTCGGGTCCCGTGAAACAAGTGTCATAACATAACACATAACTGATATGTTATTCGAAGCCTAATTTTTATATGAGTAATATTCAAACTGGTTCAAATAAACAATTTGATTTTATTTCCCATCATTGCTGAGCAACAGTTTTGTGTAAACGGAATTAAAGGCCCGTCCCATTTAGACGCCTGTCCCTAATATAAGCCAGTTGAGTTTAGTGATTGACGCAAATAATAGCCCAGGATATTAACTGAAGTTATAAGGTAGTTAGCAAGCACGGTAACATGATGAATAAACGTGACAAATGAGGAAAACATTCAGCTTCAACCACTCCATGTTGTAGTACAAATGCAAACATGACCAAACGCTGATAGTCAAACTTTATGAAAATATTACTGTTGGCTAACAACCTGTTTGAATGAACACAGACAGAAACGTGCATCTACTGTTAGCTCATCTAGCACCATTGAGCTAGTTAATGTTATCAGACGCCAATAATATTTACATCTCCTGCTGACACAAGCACAAGACTCTCGTCCATGAGTAGATGCACAATTCCTTCTGCACAGTGGTACACTTGGCAGGTGCAGTTTGGTAGAAAGAAAATTGTCTACATGAAACTGCTCACAACAAGGACTGTGGATTATCTCAAGTAGCTGTGTCATGATTTCTGGAAAGAGACATTGCTGTTGAGCTTTTCAAATATTTTTTTGTGCTATGAGCACCACAAGCTGAGTGTCAACCAGTTCAATTATATTCAAGAGAAGGCAGACATCTCTACGGTCGATATCTCTAACATTCAGCAACTCACATGAAAACAGTTAGACTGATAAATAGCACTACAGCTAAAATGAAAATATGAATTTTTGAATTTGGGGATGAACTGTCCCTTAAAGAAAACCAACAACCTAAAGACATACATACAGTGCAGTTGCCATAAATAGCACTAATCTATCTGCAGAGTCGAGCACAGTGAGGATACATGGTTGTGTTGGTGATGCTCCACCACCACAGTGCTTCCTACCTTGGGCCCACGAGATCCTCGGCTTACAGACAACCCATCGCCCTACAAAGCAAGAGGAAGAAGACATAAGAATAGGAATTCACTGCACATTCATCAGCAATTCACTGAGAGACCTGAGTTGCAGCCCAAAAAAGCTGTTCCACTGAATCAGTACGAGCCTCACTCCACAGCGCAAACAGTCTGAACATAGCGTCCCATTATGAGCTCATGTTCAATACTGTTTACAACACTTCTAATAGTTTCTATGTGCAGAGGCAGACTGATAATGCCATACCACCGAGAAAAACCTTGATTGGAATCGAGGCTACTGTAAGCATTATTTACTGTACAGTTCTGATGAGACATTGATTTCTGTGGTCAGCATGTATTAGTGTTACAAGTCCGACATTGCACAATGTAAATTAGCTGTGCAGAAGTTGGATTTGAACTAACACAGCAATTCTACAGTTTTAGTGGGGAAATGTACCAATTCACCCAAACATAAAACAAAGAAAAGTTTGGTAAGTACAGAACTTTTTGAGACTATTAATATCCTATGACTGCATGTAAAAAAAAAACAACAACAAAAAAAAAAAGTTCCATTAGACATTATGCATTGGCACTCCACTGAAACAAAACCTTTATATCAGTACTTGAGGGTAGAGGGGCATTGCTAATCTATGCAAATAATAAAAGTCAAAAGAAACAAAGAGCAAATTGCTCATTATTCATTTAAAGGCAAAATCAATGAAGTGACATTAACTACTTGAGCCGGCTGACTCATTAAAGACCCTCAGACCATCTGCATTGACTTCTGTTTATTGCTTTTTTCCTTTTCTTTGTCTTACATAACAAAGACCATAAAATGTTGAGAATCCATTTTCCTCCGATGCTTCCAAACAGAAATGACATTCGTAAAAAGACTAACAGGGTCTATGCAGAAAGACGTCCACTCTGAAAGAAAGACAGCTCTCTTTGTTTAGTTTTTGAACTGTGTCACAACATAAGAGGTCATTGGCCTGCTGTAAACATCTCCCCTTGTCATTTACACATACACACACACACACATCTACAGCCCTCTTTTCCAATCCCGCTCCAATTTTACAGTGCTGAAGTACATTAAAGAGGTTTAAATACTTCTGCCTGAACGCAATCTCTCCCTTATTACTCTGCTCAGCTGAACACACTACCCCCTTGCTTGATGAGTAGGTCCGCTGTCGTGTTTAATGTTCATTTCAGTGTTTCCACACACAAACAAACATGATTGTTTAAAGCCATAGAGCACTTGCTGGTGATTGAGGAGTGCAAGTGCCATCAACCAGGACTGAGGTCGTGCCTGCACTTGTGCTGCTTTTTGGGGATGCTGTAATGAACATTTCTATATGCAAAGCCATGTCCATAAAAGAGAGTGCTTCAACAGCTATAAGCTCCAAAGTGGGAGGATAGGTGATTACCCAGGCTGAGGTTATCCAATGGTGGATTACTTAATGGCGCTGCATCTCCATAATGTCATGGCAGCTACGCAGCTAGAGGAGCTAGCATCCTCTACTTGTCTGCCACAGTTCCAGCTGTTTGTAGATGATCTATGCTCCGTGAACTTCTGTTGAATTATCTTCTGTTATTTTCCCTGTTCTATACAGTTTCTACTTCTGTGCCCTGTGACTTGAGGGCTGAAGCCAACGAGGTCAAGATGAAAGTGAATGTCTAAATTTGATTTGGTACCCACCATATATCCACCTGCAGGCTCTCCAGGCTCACCCTTAGGTCCCGGTGGCCCCATCACTCCACCAGAGTCCCCCTACAAAGAGGAAGACAGATAGTATTCAGGAGTTTCTCTGTAGACAAAATGTCAGACTGGCTCTGTCATCTCAGCAATGCAAAGGATGTGCTGTTTTACACACAGAGAGTTCAACAGGGAAGGTTGGAAACTGCTGTCCATGAGGCAGACACTGCTTTTTGTTTCTGTCTCAAATATGTTTGCTGACTCATGTCAAGGATACAAGTTTAATGTCCTACGGAAAGAGGAAAACTGGCTTCTTTTTCATTTCCCCCCCAAAATGAACTTGCACCATCCATTTTAGTGCCCTAGTGCTACTGTCTTTCAGCAACGTAAGTGACATGGCTCTAAGGATGGCAGCGCATCTATGTTCCTGGTGTTCTTTGTTCCCCAGCTCAATATTCTCTCAATAGTATTTTTCACAAGAAATATTTCTTTTTTTTCTTTATTACACAACAAAAACAAATAATGTTTGTGACATTGACATGTAAGTCACAACAGCATAATAAAATAATACAATAATTGAAAAATAATAAGATAATGAAACAAAATCTGCTTATGTAAATACACATTCTTAAAGCCTTAAGGATTTGTGTATCTATTGATTATTATTCCAGTCCAGTGTCGTCTTTTTGAGTCTTGTATTAAGTCCACTTTTCCCATTTTCTTTCTAGTTGTGCTTCTTGTAGTCTCAGTATGTGTCAATTTCTCAATTAAAAAGATTTCTTCCACAATTGTTAGCTGCTGGTCCTTCGTTGGTGGTGTTTCTTTACCCCAGTTCTGCTAGTATTAAGTATTTTGCTAGGCTGTCTATGCAGTAGACAGATGTAAATACTTTTATATGACGAGAGAAAACAAAGAAAAAGGGCTGTGGCATTTGCTTTTGCTCAAGAGGTAGAAAACCCACAACTACCAGACTGCACTGTATAGCACCACACCAATGAACACTCCCAGTGGTGGGTGACTTAAAGCCAGTCGCTTGTCCGCAAAACAATATAGCAGCCAGCTGGAAACAAACAATCGTGCTTTACAGTTAAACAGCAAGTTAAAATATGTTTCTGAAAACAATTTATGTGAAGAATTAGGCAAGGCAGTAACAGAATCTTGGTTCATGTTTAATCAGCACCACTATTACCAAACACGATTTCCAAACAAATATAACATGCTAACATTATTAGCACAAGCCTATGGCATTTTACATTGTATAAATTAGCCTAGCGATGAGTAGTCTCACCACCAGACAATCAGAGATCTCCGCCTTCTGATAGTCTGGGGACACTCCTTTCTAAAGTGTGTTTAACACACCGGAGAAAACGGCCGGCAACAAAGCAACGCCTCTTGCATTTTTGAAAAGGACACGCCCTCCCGGAAATGTGCGCTCCCCCTTTTCTCGTTTGCAAGGAAACAAACACACAGAGAGCTTGAAAATAGATGCCGAGAGATTTAACTCTGTTTTATCAAACATGTGCTCAGTCCACAAGATTGTGGAAATGAAGGATTTACAGCGACTTTGTTTAAAACTTTTAACACAGTCAAACTACAGTATGTTTACGAGCACAAGAGTTCAGCGAGCCACCGAAGGACCGCCCTGCAGATTTACTATTGGTTCTGCAACGTAGAGAGTTTTTTTAAACTCTGAAATTGTATCTGCCCATCTAAACACAAAATCAGGGAGAAAGACTGACTTGTGAGTCTAAGCGATGAGTGGAGATTTATTAATAAATCACACTAAATGTGATAAATCACACACAAGACTTAAAATGCTATTTTTGTGGAGGCTTTATTAACTACACAATTTCTTGTTTCTTATCTGTGAAATTAAAGTAAATAAAAGCTTTGTTTCCACTGAGGGAAATGGTTTCAGCTTACAAAACATAACGTATGCATCACCACAAAGTGTAGTTACATTTCTGGGGAGGTGCATGTCAAGCTAAGGCATAGGGTACATCGACGCAGAGCCTGCTGTAGGTGCAGCGACATTCAATGCAGAAGTATAAATTTTGCCGTAGTTTTACTGTTTGATGTCAGTAATTTCAGCCTCCGTTTTTCACAATACAAGAAACAGTATGGTACCCTCTTCCTGTTCACAAACTCTCGTATTACAGCCAAACAGTGCACGAAAATATGTTTCTGAAGACATTTTAGGCAAAAAATACACAATATAGTAAAAGAATCTTGGTTTATATTTGATCGCCACTGCTTATTTCTATCGTTTGATCTAAATTTGGTCTGAGTTTGAGAGAAAGATCTCGATCCACTTCTGTAATTTTTTATGTCTATAGTGGCGACAGGCATTTAAAATTGAGGAAGTACAATCCATAGTTTGAGCGACAGTCGAAGAGCCAGCAAAAATTTGTGGCAAAACAGATTTTTACTACTTAAACTGCATTTGAAAAGTCCATATACCTTCATTCTTTTTCAGTGTTAACTGTTAAGATAGCCCTAACCAATCTCTTACAATGTTGAGTTTATATCAAGAGACATGGGACCCTAGAAACACAGGGATAACCCCCTATTGGTGGCACATGGGAGAAGTTTATAGTCACGGCTTTCTTCCAGATACCCCTTTCTAGAAGGAAACTCAACATGTTAACCCAATACACGTTTTTCCCCCGAACCTTAACCAAAAAAACAAAAAAAAAACAACAAAAAACAGAAAGTCATGGACACACACTTAGCTCAACAGCCTACAGATGGCAGTGTCAGTCAGTTCTCTACTTTGGACTACTACACTCAGATTAATTTTGATTAAATTTTGTACAAATACTACCAGTTCCCCTAGGATGAATCCTACTGACTTTAATGATCCTCTGACTTTTTCCAGTGGCATCATCAGGTCAAAGTTTGAGTTTGCCCAATACTTCATTAAATTACCAACTGCCTGAAAAACTAATGCAACCCAGTCTCCTAGAAATTACGTTTGTATGTTACTCAACTGCTTTCTTAATTACACTGTTATGGCAACATAATCGCTGCCTGGATTGTGTTGAGAGACAACAATTTTATCAGGTTACAAAACACAACATTCATGTACTATGTAGATTCTGTAAGGAGGTGGTGGATGACGAGCCTACCAAGTGCAGGACCTTGACACCAGGATTTCATGTTTGCATCCAGACTCTTGTCTTAGGTTTAGGCAACAAACGCACTTTGGCTAAGGTTAGCAAAATATCCTGAAATTGGTTAAATGTTAATAAAAAAGGTGATAATATTAAAAAAATAATAATATTGTAGTCAATACAAGTGGATAGTGCAGATCGCCTATTTTGATAGAAAACAACTGGAATATGTTGTCAGTAAACATTTTGCTGATATTTTTGCCATTTGCCAAATACGCTTATTAGCAACGTTTCCCCATTGTCTTGACTACAAACTAATTTGCTCTGCATTACATTTATCTCAAAACATATTATGTGTTTAAATATGAAGGTAATTTTTAGGGAGACACGGCTGGCTGATGACATTCCCACCAGCCTCAGCTGTACTTTCCCTTTAGTGCTAATTAGCAAATTCATAGTAGCATGCCACCAGGCTGAACCACAATGGTGAACATGGCAAACATTATCTTCTAAAAATCAGCATGTTAGCATAGTCACTGTAAGGATGGTAGTCTGCTGACATTTAGCTCAAAGCACCGCTGTGCCTAAAAACAGAACGGAGCCTGTAAGGCAGATTTCTTTTAGGTATCTACAGAGCTTGGCAGAAGCTAAGCCCCCTGCCCCCAGTGTTTATGCTAAGCTAAGATACCCGTCTCCTGGCTCCAGCTTCATATTCAACATACAGACATTGTTCTTTCACATTTTCTTTGTTTATATACCACCACATGAATGTACAACCAGTGCTGCCTCTTGGATCAGGGGTAACAGCAGTGCAGCAAAGATGACAAAGGAGGATTATAAATGTGAATGAATGCAGGAGGCTTAAGCACTTTAGGTTTCCCTTCTCTGTCCTTGAGTGTAACAGAGTAACTCCAGCGGGTGGGGAGTCTTGAGTACAGCTTTGTTTGTTTTGACAAGTGACAAACCCCATCAAATATGCATGTCAATTGCACACTTCTCCACTTTCGGCACAGTATTGGGAACAAATCCTTGTGCAAGAAGAAACTTGTGTACAAATAACAACGTAGTCAGAGGCGTCAGAGGTGAGAACACAAAGTTACAACATGATTGAGAATGGCATGCAGGGCGCGCAATCTGAAAGGTGTCTTCACAAGTTGTCTAGCATGTTCAACCTGTGATAAAACATCACAGCTTCATATTTTTTCTTTGAGGTGAGAACTTGATTTGAAGTTTACCTACCTTTTCTCCTTTCAGGCCATCTCTCCCAGGCACCCCTGACTCCCCTGGCGAGCCCTGTAAACAGTGGTGAAAAGAGACACATCTATCACCAGGCCTTCATCTCCTCACACACATTTATCTCCTCCTCCTCACTGCTTCAGCGGGCTGCCGTGTTCCAACATAATTTCCCTTAGCCAGGATTTATGAAATGCCTCTTTTCCCTCCCTGCTTTTGAGTAAAGACAGATGCTCATTACCGAAGCAGGTGTGGAGAACAGATTGAGCCTCTGCCTCCGTTCCTGGCATAAAGCGCTTAGATTTGCCTCTTTCCACTAATTAATTCTTAAATTTGATTACTGATCGTCTGTGTAAAAATTCTGGACTTTTCTCCCTACTTCCTCTCTGTCCCTGCCTGTTGAGGTTTATCTGTTTATCTCTCTCTTTCATTTTGGCAGGCTGAGTTAGAGAGTAGAGGATATGGCAAGGTGACAGATAAGGCAATGAAAGAAAGGAAGGCTTGACATGAAGTGCTCGTGTCTAGCGCCAATATACTTACTGGCTCGCCTGGGAGTCCTGGGAGTCCAGTGGGTCCAGGCAGGCCTTGCTTGCCCTGGCAAAACACAAAGGGAAACCAATACTTTGGGCTATTTTCTCCTTTTGTTTGGTGACAGAATTGCCTGGGCTTTCAAATGTAGCTGCCCAGCCAGCAACACTGTGGACACGACTTTCGGGAGTATTTCAAATAACAGTGTTGTTGAAGTGCCGCCCCTGCTACTTTTTTAATAAAGCACCGCTAGTTTCATGGCAATTACTGTACGCTGGGGCTATCATCATGACAGAGCAGCGGTAGGTTTGCATGCACACGTTATTTCAAATAAAAGCTGATATCCTGGTTGTGCTGTTATTCTAGATAAGCTCTTTATATGCATTCCCCTTTTTGAGTCATTATTGTCTTTGTATACATGGATGAACTGAACGATCCACATATTACCATGGAAACTGAGCTTACATTGAATGATGACAACTGAGAAAAGGAGTACACAAGCAACAGCATCCTGGCTGCTTTCAATATACACCTTTTTATGATTGGAATTTAAAGGTATCTGCACTATTATGACTGTTTCATAATGTTTTCATGAACCAAGTAAAAAAAAAAACTCTTGTATGCTCAATTATGAGAGTTTTCAGTATATTATTTTGCATGAATTGGTTAACAGTGAACACACTCACAATACTTCTATCAACTAATATAAGCATCATCTTCTTATAAGTGTAATATGCAGTAATTTATTTGCATTTATCTCCATTTTCACTGAAACCCTGACACCTTACTGAGATGTTTACTGTACATTTCCATATGCCAGTTGATACTGGCTTGAAGCAGCTGTTATGATCAAGTTTTACAAGTGACATTAACTTATCTAAGATACTGTCCAACTTTTAAAAGATTAAAATTTTAAATAGTTTTCTTTCCAATTCTATTTATGAGCCACACCTGAGTAGCCTTCGTCTCACTGTTGTTTATGTTTAGCAGGTTTACACAGTTTGACCTACTGTAAGTGGCACAGCTGACATAAGATAAATACAAAAACTCACCTCTGGTCCTTGATCTCCCTTGAGTCCTGGAGGCCCCATGTTTCCCTGTTACAGCACCAAAAGAAATGGCGAGTGAGAAGTATGGGGGAGGCAGGAAAATGGAGGAGAAAAAAATTAGGTCTGTCACAACAGAATATCTGAATTCAAGATACAAAAGTTTGGAGGGGCATAAAAGTCGACAACAAGAACAGAATTACTGTGGTGTGTCGAGATTTTAGGCTCTCTGACAACAGCTCAGAAATATCAGAATGGATGCCTATAATTTCTAACATGTTGTAGTCAAAGAAAAATCTCTTCTACAATAAAAATGGCTTTGATCAACAACCCTGTTGCACGGAGGGCTTCACAGAGTCACACTCGACGGACATAAAAGACTTTGGAGCCTTATTTTGTTGGCAGCACAGACTGTATAAAAGAAGTGGGCGTAGCCACCGTAAGGTCACATCTTGTTTTGTTGTCTCCTGTTTTGAAGCTTCGAGTTTGACATTTTGGCCATTGTCATCTTGGTTTTATAGAGACAGAGGAAACCGTATCAGGATGAGAAGGTGGAGCTGGGAGGGCGCAAGGGATGGATCTGACTGAGGTTACAGCCACACTAATATATTTTTGTTTATTGCTACCTTTACGCCTACTGTCCACGCTACTCTGGGGTTTTGGAACCCCTAAAACAGACCTTTTGAAATGCTGCAGACCCTGCTTTAGTTTGAAAAGTCTGGGGCTGCATTTTAGTATCAATAAGCTGAAAAGGAGACTTGAAAACGACGATGGAGACGCCTTTGTTCGCTTCCTGATTGGGTCTTATCAGCCACAACATGACAAGCAAAAACACTACAGCTGGGTCTACACACCTTGTGATTTTATCTTTCTTGTGTGGGTAACGTTACTTTCCCATTACCATGGCTTTCTCCGGCAATGGATAGCGCTCCAAGTACTGCTCTGATATATCATTGCAGACTGCCATCTGTTTTCTGCCACCTTGACCCCCTTATACTCATGACACTTTCAGTAAAAGCTCCACCACAAGCAAAGAAATCTCTGGTCTTACTTTTCACCATCTCTGTAGTACTTTCTGTAATTAAGAAACCAACAGCAGAGAAGACAATCCGCTATCTGTTTATACCGGCACACACATGCCCAGTGTACGTGGATGGTTATGTGATGTGCGTTAACAGGTTTGTTAGTTTAACAGAGATTATTTCTGAAACGGCACTAAAAAAGCCTGTGTGTATAGAGATCGTTTTCATTTTAAAAGGCGTTTTAAAACAAAAATCTATTAGTGTGGATGTAGCCTAAGAACCTGAGGACACACTGGTCGCTGTGGTAGCGACTTGTCAATCACAAGCCCTACAACATACCCCAACATACCTTTCTCGTCTATTTCACTCTAACTGGGTGCATTTTTTACGGAATTAACATCATGCTGTATTGGAGAAAACCTAAACGTAGCGACAGAGACCTTAAACTCATTAAGAAAATGTATGAGGTATGAGGTAATAAATCAAGTGAGAATTAGGGTCATATTCTCATAGACTTCTATTCCATCAGACTTCATCTGGCAAACAGTGGAGTCGCCCCCTGCTGGCCATTAGAAATAATGCAACTTTAAGGCGCTTTTGCATCGGCTTCACTTTCCAGACCCAGAGGCTACGTCGACGTCTTTTATACCATCTATGGTTGGCAGTGGATATTGATGCTCAGGTTCTAGTGCAAGTGCAAAGTCTTCGACAATTTACCTTGAAGCCTTGCGGCCCTTGAGCTCCTCTCTCCCCCTGTAGAAAGTAAAGAAGACAGAGAACCATCATTCCTCAAGACATGCATAAAGAAAATAGTCAAGTAAGCCATTCCTCCTGCTGACTGGGGTACGGCTTAAAAAATTTCCTTAAGGACCTTCATGAAGTTAGCTTTCATACTGTGTGAAGGTTAAGAACAGTTTTTCCTTTGCTAAGTTTGCCTCTTTGTTCTGGGAATGTGAATACAATCAAAGCAGTAACTTTTTCAGAAAAAAGAATTACCTCTGAGATACCATACAGAACATTTCTTGCTCTTGCCTTCATACCACTTACACTCATCATGGTCGTATGCTGAGTATTTGGTTTTGATGTCTGCTACAATTCAGTAAATCTTCTTTAATTTGCAGATTCTTATTTTCTCTATGTGTAATTTGTTTTTTCTTTTTCATTTATCTGACAAATCTTTTGATGTTTGGTCAATAGCTGCATCAGTGGCCTTTGTAATCTGCTTGCCTCGAGTAGATGCATCTGTTGTTTTGAGGTCCAAACAATAATTGTACACCAATTTATTCTGCGCTCCACCCTCTGCGGAGCACAAAGATGACATGGTACTCATCTGAACAGCAGGTGATGTTCAATTGTTCTTTTCGAACCAAATGTCAACACTGCTTTTGTTGATGTTACATAATAACAAATGGAAACATTTTTCCTGCTGTGCTGTCAAATGTTGGATGAAATGAAAACTAATACTGAGTTTCTTATGTTTAAATTGTATTCACTGAGAAACAACAAGGGAAATAGTTACCTGATCTCCTTTTTCTCCCTTTTGGGTCTTCTCCTTCATTTCATCCTCAAACACAGGAGAAAGCAGACCACTTTAAAATCTGACGGAAGTCTACTTTGTATACAATTTGAAGAGGAACCACAAATACATAAACATTTCAAGTTTTATGATATAATCAGCTGCTTACAGTTCCAGAGATCTGTCTTAATCCGTGAGCTGTCATCACCTACAAGTAATAAAAAGAGAGAGAGAGAGAGAGAGACGAATTTTCCTTAAACAGACTCCACTGATCTCTCAATTACATCAAGTAAAAATCAGAAAGAAACTATTCTGATTGATTCAAAGGCATTATAGAAGTAACAACTTTTTCTTGATTCACAAATATATAATAAATCTCGACAGAATGTTTTTCTATTTCTTTTATATCTTTAGTAAAGCTCGGAAAAGAGGAAAGGGGAAAGGTCAAGACCAACCAGCTGAGGTGGACTGATGCCGGGAACTAATACAGGTGAAAAGGCGAAATGGCAAATCAAAGAAGCAATTACGAGGATTCAAAGTTTTTCTATAAAGCTACAATATCATTCTCTGTACAGGTTACACATCAAGTCAAAGAGCTGCCATTACCATCACAGCGGATCAGAATGTGATCTGATAGTACTTGATGTTGTAAATACACCAAGGACACACTGAAGATTAACTGCTATTCAATGGCTAAACTATACTTGAAAGTGACCACATTGAACACAAGTGTACAACCGATGAGGCTTGGGCTTTATCTGTTTTTTTCATACCTTCAAATCTTCCTGACACCGGGATATATGGTATACAATGGGTTTGTGTAATAAAATGCTACTTATGGACCATAGAATAGTGAAAAAAGATGGGATACGGTTTATAGTTAAATTACCTTTGTTGGATTATTAATAATTACAAATCAGGAATCATGATGTCTAGTTTTGATATTATTTATTCTTTTCTTCTGTTGTCAGCTCAAACCTCTTTAAAATAAGAGTAAAATGGAACCTCCTGCATGTACTCTCATTATATAACCGACACGCCACTGAGCTGATGAAGTCCTTGAACCAGACTTTCCTAAATTCATAAATATTCTTTAGCCTTTCTCCTATAGATTCTTGCTGGAGAACCTGATGACAGATAATGTACAGTACAGATAATGTACTACTTACAAGTAGTAGTAGATCATACCCATTTCTGGTAGTCCCAACTGTCCAGTTGAAACCCCGCCCATGACGAGCACAGACACGGATACAGGTAATTTAATTGACTGAACACATACAGATACAGATAGTGATGTACTCATTAAACTCTATCAGCAACGTTATCCCCATAGCTCGCAGTCGCCTTTTTTTTTTGGTCGCTCAGGTGCCTGTCCTACCAGTAGACTGACCTCTGGTGGCACTTACTGTGCACTACATCACTTTAATACAGCATCTCCATATCAGTTGAAAAGAAAGACAAGTGTCTGTATTTTTGAAAATCATACCTCCTGGATTTTTAAATACCGTTATACTGTAATACCTTTATACTACCCAAGCCTAATGCAAACGCTTTTTTAATACACAAATTTATGGATAGAAAATTATGTTCAGTATTCCAGTTGGCTGATGGCCTCTTTCCGACTGCACAAAAAGGTTTCAAAAGCCAATGTTTAAAGCCCAATGTATTAAAAACTGAGCAAAGCAATCTGGAGAGCAAATCTAATTATCTATCTATAATCATCAGAACTCATTACATCTAAATGCCCTCAGGCCTTTTGTGTTGTGTTAACTGCATGTTTCACCCCCATATGCAGTTAGAACCAGTTTAGTCTTGGGTGGTTTTAGCATAATGATCAAAGAAGCAAGAGACAACAGAAGCAATCTTGGAACTGAAAGCTGTATACAGATGGGGAACATTTTGATGCCTACATGGCATGTTTTCCTTTGTCCACCTGTGCTGGTGCCCTTGTTTCCAAAGTCATGTGTGCCAGTGAGCCCTCTGAGAGTGTTACTGTGATTAAAGGCTACACAAATTATCCTGACATGGAGCCCTTTTTCAGCGGCAATGGTCAAAAAAAAAAAAAAAAAAAAAAAAAAATCAGTAAGGCACTGAATACCTCCGCTGCCCTAATGGAGTGTCCGCTGTGTCTCAGTTCCATCAGTATCAACACTTTCTGTGAGTGTTTTTTTTTTTTTTCTCAAGAGACTGGAAACACTGATAAACACCTTTTACTCAGCATAACTTGGAAAAACAGATTCAGTTTAATAGATTATAAAACTCTATTGTAAAGCAATACAGGCACCATAAAAAGCAGGACAGTCTCATAGTTGAAAAGACTGTTTTGCCACTTTAAGGGCACTGGGGGAAGTGATGGCCATGCATGCCTGCAAGCACTGCTCCTCCCCGTCACTAATAAACAGAGGCACAAGAAGGTTTATGAAGGGAGGGTAATGATCCAAACCCTTGCTTCTGCTGTGTAAGGGAAATCAATGCTTAACTGCCAAAATTATCTGTCATGGGAAAGCAGAGAGCACAGACAGAGACTGGTACTAAATATTCAAACAGCCTCATTTATCAAATGACTAATGTTTTCCCCTCTGCTGTGTGCCATAGCACTGTATACATCTCCTATATCCTGGGTGGCCCATGCCTCACCACACAAAAATGACAAAACACAACTGAGTGTTTCAGTTTAGATAGAACACTTCTTTATCTTCCTCCCCCAGTTGAAATGAAATGCAAGGGAAAGAGACAACTATTCAAAAATAATTGCAAAGCAAGACCTCAGTGTTTTGAACGGCCATTAAAACTGCCTACATTGATATCTATTCTTATTAAGGGGGTAGACTTTTTGTTGGTTAGACAGAAACCAGTGAAACCAGTGGAGGGTGAGTGATATTTGTTCGCTGTATAATTAAGTTGTCAAATTTCCATATGAATCACTCACTAACAAGCAATGAGAATAAGAATGAAAGCCATCAAACTTTGTTTCCAAGCTCATGTCTGAAGCCTTCAGAGGCTCAATAGGCAGCAAGTCTTTAGAACAAAACCCATTAGGACAGAGTCATCTAAATGTCAAATGCCTCACTTTATGACACTCATGCTCCAACACCATGTTTTTATTTGACACTTTTTAATTTCTTTTTTTTTTTTTTTTAAGTGTATTAATAGTTGCAGCATGCCTTCAGAGTCATTACAGCCCCCTCGCAGATCTTTTACCGATTTGTCATGGTGTGTTTTTGACTTAAAAATGTCTCAGCAATGAGTTCTACCATCCCAGCACCACCCACCCTGTGTCACCTTCAGCGCAAATCAGACAGCCACCATGACGTCAGGGTTTCTCTGTTTTTATGTTTCTCCACTAAAAGCCAGTGTCTTCCAACAAAAATCCTTTTACTGTAATTTACAATTACGCACATTATAAACAGGTCGTGTCCTGCATGGCCCCCATTAATTCACACCATAAAGTTTTTTTTTTTTGGTTCCGAAAGATAACGACATCAGTGGGTGATGGCTACTGCAAATGCATTAATTTGATACTAGATATAAAAAAAAAAAAATCACAGTTCGCAGCTCTCAGTGCCTGTGCAAGCTATTTTGTGCAAATTTCTTTGCTGTGTACACTCCTAAAAAAAAAAAATCACTCAGTGGGAGCTTGCTGCCAAATATCAGTAAGTTCATTACCTGAAAAGAAATGAAGCTCAACACAACTAATCTCAACTGTCTTAAAAATGCTGCCCATGTTTTATGCCTTTTATCAACACTGATCCATTGTTTGTACAGGAAAAAAATGTTTTTAAACCACATATTTAAAGATAGAACAAATCTGCAGGCTTGTCAGAGAATGGAAGTTGGTTACAAGATGACATGCCACCATGTTGGAGTTGTGACAGCGAGGGTAAACACTGCACTGCTGTTGATATTCCCTCCCTGGTCCCCAAATGTTTTATAGTTGGATGTGAACAGCTCACTGACGCACTATTTTTTTAAATGTTGGTGGCAGAGAACAAAGCAAAGAGTTTAAAATAATTTCTTTTAGTTATCCAATATGTGGCGCTCCATATGACAAAACCTCATACTTATTGACAATCAACAACATTTTATACTATATTGGACTTACAGGACCAGGAGGACCAGGAGGACCAACATCACCCTGAAAATACCACAGAAACATTATCATTACATACATGCATTAATTAATACATAGTGTAAGGGAGTGACAGACAGAGAAGCAAACAGACAGTGACAAAAAAAACAGGTACCAAAATAGAAAAAAGAATACACAGAGTAAAAATTGCACTTGAGAAACTACTTCTGAAACCAAGTTGCCACAGGTGACCTCAAACATCAATAGGTTTTGGAGCAACAACAAAGGAGGCAATAACATGACCAGACTTCAGAGAAAATACTGACTAACTCAAGTGATGCGAGAAGAGCCATGAGATGAGGGGAAAGAAAACATTAAAGAAAAGCACTCTTCAGTGGTGCGCATTTCATGTGCATCATGTAGACTGTACTTAGCGTGTGTGTGTGTGTGTGTGGGTGTGTGTGTGTGTATACTTTTTAATGGGAGCTCCAGGGAACCATAGACGGTTCTTAATTGTGATGCATTGCATTTGGGAGCCTCCATTCTTCCATTCATAATTTACAAGCTATAACTTTCATGCTTTTAATAAAACAAGAAGACGCAGCATAACATCTGCTTATATATGGTACTATAAACAACTAAAAAGCACTGTGAGAGTACATGCTGTAGCATTCAAGGCCTACACAATTCTCTAAATGTGTAATTTTGAAAAGGTTTAGAAGTTTTAATCCCCATCTGGATCTGGATCAAAGTACACATGATGATAGACTATCATGCTGATTTTTGGAAAATACCTTAATCCTGTGAACATAAGGACTTTAATTAAGGGTTTATCTCCAGTAGGGGTGTAAATCATAAGTTTCCTCATGCTATTATATCAATTCTTTGGACAACAATCATTTTTTTGGCTAATATTCCAAAGTCTGCCACAATATGACTTCGATTCAGTTCAACTAAGGGACCTACCATCAGTATGAGACTGTATCAGTTAATATTGTGTCTTTTTTTTCCAGCCCTTTAACACGTAATGTTGAGGAAGGAGGAGTGCTTAGACGGAAATGGTGACACATGAGCCATCAAAATTTCAAAATAAAGTTGATGGTATGTATCAATATGCTCACTTTGCATCAGGGATACTGGATCATTGATCACTGAATCAATGTATCGATCCAGATGCATTATTCTCATTTAATTTATTTAAACACTTTTGGCTAGCTTGCCATCATCAAGTCAAGGTTTTTAGCCAAACTAGATGGATGGTTTTGGGGATGGTAGTGTTGTTTGGTTCATCACTTGGGTACAGATGGAAGTATCAGAGTATGATGGATTGCCATGACATTTTGTATAGCTATTCATGGTTCGCAGAGGACGAATCCTACTGACTTTGGTGATCCCTTGACTTTTCCTCTAGCACTATAATGAGGTTGAAATGCTTGTGTTTTAGTGAAATACCTCCGCAACTATTGGATGGATTGTCATGAAATTTTCCACAGTGCTCATACAATCAATTCTAACAACTTCTGTGATCCTCTGGTTTTTCATCAAATGCCACCAGAAGGTCAAAGTTGTCATGCAACTTGTAAAATGTCTCAAGATCTACAAAATAGATTCACTCAGTTAAACATTATAACTCTATTAAATAGGTATAGTGGTTGTAAGTGTTACAGATATAGGTTAGAAGGCACCTGTAACACCAACTACCATGTTTAGACTGCTGTTTTCCACTGAAAATAACTGTTTGTTATTATGCGGCGACATGTGGATTAGCTGACTTTATCGGGAGGCGGAGGGTATGGAGGATGGCATTACTTCTAAGTGAGACAGCTGCCAACAACATCCATTGTTCATTAGCAAGCCATCGAGGTGTTTTGAGCGGGATATCTGGCCCCAAACTTGGGTGTTTATTAGCGACCCTCCGCTGGCTTTTGTGCTACCAAACGCAGGTATTTTAAGCCAAAAAAGGATTTTTTCCTTACCATAACCAAGTGGTGTTTGTGCCTAAATATAACCAGATGTTAACCAATAAAGATTTGCTAGTGGCTGGTAATTTGAACATACTTGCTAGTGTAGCAGGAGCCTTACAGCCTATATCTACAACACTGATAATCAATACTCATTCCTACATAATAGAGTGCTAACATTTAAAATGGATGATAGATTGGCACAAAACTGTACGCAGACAGCCATGGTTCCTGTATCCAACCATTTATTCTAATGGTACATGATGGTGGATCTGTCTGCATCAAACAATAATATGTCCCTCCTTGACACATGACAACATGTACAACCATAAAATGATGTTTATGTTTATATTTATTAATGAAGGGACAATGCACATTAATAAACATGAGCTCTTGGGTCCATCATGTAAATGTGCCAGATTTAGCCATACAGGCTCATTTTCATCTGCAGTCCTTGGCAGGTTGATGGCTTATAAAAAACATTAGAGGCAAACATACAAAAGCACATAAGTACAGGCAAAAGCACATCAACAAAACAATGACAACCGGAGGGCACATAAAAAACATTAAAGAAAAACATACAAAAGCACATCGGCGGAGACAATTACTGGAACAGTGACATAACAGCTACTCCAAATCATGACAGCATAATGTCCACACACACACACACACACACACACACACACTCAAACAGATGCATAAACTGTCATCATGAATCCTGCTTACAGGAACAAAGGACACAAACAAAAGCATCTATAAAAATCAACAAAAAAACACCAACAGATTTATTATTTGCTGCTAAATGATTTCAAAGACCTGTGGAGGTTTCACAGACTTGAAGATAACTAACTCAAAAGGTGTAACCTCTGAGATCTGGTAATTATATCGCTTGAACTATCTTACCTCCACCACCTCTAGCTCATCTCCCCTCCACCACCACACACACACTCACACACACAGGCTGAGTCCCAGTGAGCACAAACAGAGGGAATCATCACGTATGACACTTGACATTGATGTGACTTACTTTTTGTCCTTTCATCCCGCCAGCCCCCTCGGCACCTGGCTGACCCTGTGGGAGGAGGCCTTGGTTAATGACTCTGTAACATGACGGCATTGTAAATGTCACTGCAGGAAAATACGTACGGGCTCTCCTCTCTCTCCTTTCTCCCCTTTCCCCCCTGGGACTGCAGACTCACCCCTCTCCACCTGTATGTGAACAGAGCAGATCATTGACAGTGACTGACAGCAAATGCAGGGCAAAAAGACAGAGAGCTCAGAGAGTGAAACTTGGGCAAGGGCAGACGCCAGGAATAAGTAATCAAAACACTATACAGTATCAAGTCATCCCAGAATAAACCAGTTTGTAATCATGGTGGGAAAAGGAACACTGTGTGACTCTGTGATACTATGGTGTTAAAAGGATAATGATCAAACCCCTGTTGCATTGCAGCACGTTTCCACGTTAAAATCATACCCCTGTCTGCCAATAGATGGCACTTTATGACTGCTGGTGAGCTGTCCATGGAGTATTTTTAATAGGATTTCTTCCTGTCAGTTATGTGGAGAGTACTCTGAGTAAACACAACTGTAAAACAAATGTACTCGCACCTTGGTCAAGACACACAGTGAATGAATAATTAAAAAGATTTGTATAGAACATTGTTATATACATATAGACAGTACAACGTCTCTCATCCTTAAAGCCTCAGCAGAAGACTTATCATACTGCATGTATGTCTCACCATCTTATAACCAGGTATTATTTTAGCTACATAGCAGATGTGTGGCAAATCATTCGTCAAATGCATCTGGAGTAGCAGAAATGCATTGTTTCACATGTCCAGGCTTAATAAACCTCATCTGTTGTGAAATGTGTGTTCCTTTTCCAAACACACAAAACAGAGGGCTAAAAAAAATATAGCTTTTTCATCAAAGATTATTCTTGTTTAGTATGACATGTGTGCAGATTCGTAGGGAACGCTTCAGATACTCTGTGCTGAGACATTATGGAGCATCTGTTTAGCAATCTGAGAAGACAGAGAGACATCTGAGAGAGGTTGCAGCATATTTGCACACTCCTTAGTGGCGCCTGGACTCTAACAAACAATAATTGCCATTCAGTCTCAGCCCCTCCCCCATGCCTTCCAATAGCTAACAGCGGCCACTGTAATGCCATTCATTTAATGAGATATAGTCACTGTTTCCCCATCCAAATTATGAGCTGTTATTAAGTCAGGACACTGCTGCCATGTATGAACAGATGGATTGTCCTATTAATATTTTAAGCAGAGAGGATGGACTGGTGGCAAAATTGACTTTGAGTGCTAATTGAATTCTGTTCAGTTGTATCAACCACATGGGAACTCAATGATTTCACCACCATAAGACAAGATAAGAGATATGATAAAACTTCATTTATACCGAGGAAAACTGCTGGTTTTACCATAATCTTATCAACTATAGTGTGTCATTGTTGGCATGCTATGAGTCAGTCCTTAAAGTCCCCCCACAGACATGTTTTTAAGTATGTAGCAATACTCTGCAATGATTAATATCGTGTTTACCATGGTTTTCCTACATAAAAACTAAAATTAAAAAAAGCAATTTATTTATTGAGAAATTATGGATTTGGTCTCATGTCCCACCCAATTCCGAAGCCCCATTAGTCTGAAAAATGTCCCACTGGAACGAAAGCCCATTTCTCCGATGGCTCATTATCCCAAAAATAAACATCAACTGCTACAAAGTCCCATTTCTCCAAAAATACACACTCTCTGCAGTTAGCGTCAGTTTGCTAGTGGTGTTTGAGCCACTGATCCTGGGTGTTTTTGACCAACCCTTCGCGGCATTTCTGAGCAGCATTTGAGCCACCGATCTTAGGAATTCTTAATCGAAGCGTCACTGCTTTTCCAGCGACTCTTGTGCCACCAAAGGGGGGTGTTTCAATCCAAAATGTGATCTTTTCTTCACCATAACCGATTGGTTTTTATGCCTGCACCTAACCACACAGTCACTACAGCGTTGTTGACAAATGTAAAGTATCCGCAGTTTTCAGAAAAGTACACTGCAAACATTTTTTCTGGCGATTGGGCTGTCTAGGAGCAGGGAGTGTGTATTGTCAGAGAAATGGGACTTCTGAGAAATGGGCGTTTGCTTTGGGGACAAATGAGCTTTCAGTTCAAGAGGACTTTTTTTTAGATGGGAATTTGGACATCGGAATGATAGGCAGTACCCCGTCACGGTGGCTAGCGTTAGCGTTAGAGGAAACACTGGATATATATCTGTTATGATGGAGTTTCTGGTAGATAGCTGATGGAAGCTCCAGGATCTGTTTTACATCCAAAAACTACACTCTCTGACATGTTTGCTGTCCAACATTTACTATGCCAATGCTAACTGCGCTGGAGGTTTCAGGTTTCTTTGCTGTGTGTGAAAGTCTGTTCCCCGATCAATATGTCTACTGGACAGCGATTGGTTTTTACATTAATGGCGTACTGAATCTAGCTTGCCCAGGGAATGTTTGAATCTCAAATTCTAGGGAGGTGCACAGACATCGCCTCCTTCAGTAGAGGAATGTGAAAACACCTCTCTAGTGACAAACTTTGCACAGATACAAGTCAGTGTGGTCAAGGTTGGACATTCTGGGGGACATAAACAGAAGAAAATCCCGTTTTTGAGTGAAGAGGATCTTTAAAAAAGGCAGCTCACAATGCAGTATTCATCATACAGTAACTGTAAAACACATACTGTACTGTGAACATAATATTGTTTTCCACTGACTTATGACTCAATGTAAATCACATCTGATGAAAAATTAGGGTTAGTCCGCAATGCCACTTGCTGTAAATATGCTGTGCACTGTATTCTGTCATAGACTCATGGCAAAAAAATTATCGCTATCATTGCTAGATCTCCATGGAACATCATTCAAAGTCAATTTATTGGCAGAGAGGAATATAACAAGTTAATAAACCTTTCAAATGAGATTAACTGCAGCACTGCCAGTATTTATCCAGATTATCTCTGTATTTACACAATGAGAAAGCCCAGCGTGTTTAGGACAGGGAACTGGTCCACCTGTGGAAGTCTATGGGTGATATGTTGACTTTGAGCCTGTTTGCATCCCACTCAGTCTCTCTATCAAAATCTGCAGTGTTCTGTCTGAGCCCATTTGAGACTGTCAGCGGGAGATACAGTTATGGAGACATGATTCATGAGGACACCGTCTTCCCGGCACATCATGCACGGCACAGACCTTTTGTTTTTCAGTTTAAAACATTCACACTCTGCTGAGTGAGTGAGAGGGGGGCTCAGCTCACACAGATGTTGCATGAGCTGCAGTTTAGTCCTGCTTGCGTCTGTTTTGTCCAAACTAAAAAATGCACAAGGGTGGCCACTGAGAAGTCAGGGGGAATCTGTGATGCTGCTCAATTATTACTGCTCCTGGGAAATGTAGCTTTCCATTCCTCACTGAGGGGTGACAGTTCAGCTTCTCCAACGGATCGTGTTGGATTGTGTTAATTCCTTTGAGCACGTGGCTATGCTTGTTTTGTTTTAGCATATTAAAATGTGAAGTGATCCGCTGGGACAGGGGAGTTTACTCGTCACACACAGTAAGCATGAATTTACAATGACAAAAGCAAAGACGTATCCTTAATGTAAGGGCATGACTAATTCATGGCAAGGCTGGCATGCATATTTGATGTAAGCATTGATGTATGTGATGTTTCTCAACACCACCTAACTATAATCAGCAAGTGAACAATCCCACAACAAATACTTTTATCATAATATTAGCTGCAACCAGTATCTCTATAGCAGCTCTCTGTCAGTAGGTTGAAAAAAATATTTCTTTGGCAGCCAATTTTTTTGCCTTAGGAGGCAGAAATTTAGTATGGAGGCTAAGGATGTGTGTGTGAAGTTGTGTGTTCGTGTTCATGCCAATTGCCTACGGTTGGGCGGGACAGCGGGAGTGGCCTATAACAAAAAGGCACATAACTTCCAAATGGATTCACAGAGAAGATCATGAGCCAAAGGACAGCTCATTAACTGTCCATGCCAACTGGCATAAAGGGCGTGGGGAGCTATAACACAAAGGCGCATAACTTCTAAATGGATTTATGTATGACCAAACTTGTAATGACCAAACTTAACAGAAAAAGACACATACAGATAAATAGACATACACACACACACACACATTTTTGCCACGTATCATTATAGGACTGTTGCGATAACCTCAGTACTGCAACACAGCGAGACTGACAAACCAACTGCAGGGGATGGCAAGCAGCCACTACAACAGGTATAAGGCACTGAGCGTTTATTCTGCACTCAACACTGTGCACTGTTTTTTTTCTGGTCACCGAGAGTTAAGAGTTCTAAACTTTGGGTCAAGCTCTGCAGCCGCTCATCAATGTCACGTTTTCCCTTTCCATCTATAACAGATGAGAGGGGCGAGACAAATACCACAATGACCAGCCGATACATGACCAACCGTCACATTGCTGAGCAACAACCACAACTATGGAAGAGAAATGAACACTGAAGTCACAGACTTGTGGGTCTGTCCTCCCTCCCTATGTGCTTCAGCATCCCCTTCATCCAGAGCAGGTATTTTACCTTGTGCCAACACTTTTATTTGTCTCTACTTTTTCTGCACTTTTGCTATTTTTCAATAGTGATATATTTTTTTATTGTAAATCGCTTAATTTAATAACTTAATTTAACCTTTAATACCCTTTTTCTCTTGCTGTATTCTTTATTATGTTTTATATTTTATTGCTCTGTACAGCACTTTGAATGGCCCTTGTGTATGAATGTGCTATACAAATAAAGCTGCCTTGCCTTGCCTGCCTTACTTCTGCCAATATTTTGTATCATAGCAACCAGACGCAACCAAAGTATCTCAGCCGGAAAAGGCTGTGCACCTTATTGCACCTCATTGCCTGTCTGTGTTCTGCATTTAACAATGAACAAGTTTTTATTTGTTTTCAAACTGTGTCATAGTATTCATTTAGCTAAAATCAGGATAAATTAAGTAATTTGCCATGCATGCAAATTTAACAGTTTGGTAATACCATTTATTATGCTGTTGAGCCACACTTAATCACTGATGGGGAAATTCCTTCACTGCAACAGAATTACATCACTGTGCTAGTGGCAAGTGTTTGTGAGGTTGTGTGCGTGTGTGACATGCATGAATTCATGGATGCATGCATGCACGTGGACACAGCTATTGCATATACTTTTTTAATCATAATGCAATCTTTAATCTAATCTGAGATGGGCTGCTTTGGTATCCTGCAGGCCTTGTCACCTGCAGATGTTACTCTCCCTTTCATCATTCTGAAATCAGTCTGTAGTTGCAAGCTCCAGCGAGCCTGGGGGTTTACTTTCCAAGAACTTGTAAACTTTTACCCACACTGCTGAACAATAATTATTTGTCACCGTCACACGAAATTAGCTTTATGTGTATTTTTCTTCACTGTGTTCAAACTCAGCTGGTCATTTATTTAATAAAAGACCAATGAAAGCAAAAAAGCCATTGCAAAAATTATGCTGAACCCACAAATTCAGAGCTATTTCCTTTCTGCCAAGTGAAGGTTTGAGTTTTACAGCTTCATTTTTATGATAAGAGACTGATACGAGTGAGATAATAAAGCTGCAACTCAGTAGCCAATTAGTGAAAACTCATGAAAACGTAATCAAGGTAATCTCCGATTGTCATCTTATTCTGAAGTATGATTTAATAGGGCATTGTAATACTGTCATTTTTCATCCAAATGAAACCACTATCCATTGTGCCTCCACCTATGGTACACCGACTGCAATCCCATTTGTTTTGAGGTATAATAAGTGTCCTCATACAGACAACTTTCTTTTTCAAGGTTGGCCAGCTGACACTTCTCCTTCCTCTGGGCAGAGGGAGCAGGAGGAATTCTGCGGCCTGAGCTGACACCCCAGCAAACGACGCACCTATACATCAAATGAACAGCTGCGGTCAGGAGGTTGTCCACTACACAATAGCTTTCACTCTCAGCATGATCACAAGTGGGCCACTGGAGGCCTGGTGGGTGGTGGGGGCTGAGAGGGGTAGCGCTGGGGAAGCAGGTAGCAACAAAGACAGTAGGAGGCCTGGTAGAGGTCCATGTCTGAGGGTTTTTTACACCGCATATCTCATGTGCCTCTGGTGAGCTACAGCACCCCTGGGCTTCATGAAAATGATTGCAGAACCCTTTTTGCAAAAGCATTGTATGTAATGGCCATCTGTCTGTTTGGAGTGTGAGCTCTGAGTCACGCTGTGCGGCGCTGCAGGAGGTGCAGGGTGGGAACAGCTATTTAACTTGCACAACAGATAGGCTACAATTGAGTGAAAGGTGCCATTTCCGACGAGGGAGATCCGTTCCTGACTGCAAACAGAAAAAATGTCAGTCAAGGACAGAGGTCTGGTCACACAGACGTCCAACTTGTATTGGCTGGCTTCTCGGGACAGCCACTTACACGCGGTATGTCTTTATACAGACAACACAGTGCAAATGATTAAACTTCTCGCCTATTTGGGGGACTGCTACAATGAACGCTGCTCAGTCATCTTGACAATTCACCCTTGCTGGAAGTGCAGGTAAGGGACGGTTTATCAAACGGGGAGACAGCTCAAATCTACTTTAAATGCCATGTGTCAGTACTTTGTTTTGTGATGAACAATGTTTTGAGTGATACCTTGACACTTGCTCCGTCTGGGGTTCCTGGGGGACCCTGTAATTACAAGCAATAAAAAAGTCTCTTTACACAGAGAAAAGATAAAAGGATTTCACAAAAAGACAATGAAATGAATGCTTGTGAACCGGACATACGTAATTTATTTTTCGTCATCAGTTTTTAACCTTCCCAAGCATTTCCTGACCTTTATTTAAATTGGCAAGTTTGCTTGAAAAACATCCAGATTTTTATAGCAAAGGTCTTTTGTATTATATTTCCTAACCTTTGCACTAATGTTAGTTCTCATAAAGACGTGGCTGGCCCCCAGCAGTCTATAGATTATCTTTGAGTGTGTCTTTGTTGCATGCCTTTCACAAACTCTCCTGTTGTCGTGCAATGCTAATTTGACTTTGAAAAATAACCGCTGCCCCCTCAACTGCGAGCACTGTCCTGCTGCCAATGGACAAGAGAGAGTGATGCCCTGGTGTGTGTGTGTTTTGAATAGATGATTTTGCCCCTGAGATCTACCTCAGCAAAACAGGTGACTCATAAATGCCAATACCAGGGGACGGAGGAAAAGCTGGCACATGCTAAGGGTATCATCAGGACATTGCCATTTAGAAATGTCACACCTTCTCCATCCTGTCTTTCTTTTGTCCTACGGCTTTGTGTCCTACAACTTTATGAGTTATTAAGGAGGCAGGGAATGCATTGAGTCATGCGGGAGAGGTTAACAGTGAGTGGCTCAATTATACCAAAGATAATTGAACCTATTGAGCAGAACGGTGATAGAAGCAGAACAGAATCTTCCTGGATTTCTGGATGAATAAAGTAAGACAAACCCTATGTCCTGATCAAGAGCATAATCAGGGCGATAGTGCATGAAAATAATTGGACACCCAAAGCATCAGAGCTACATGATGCCTAAACACTCCCGTTTGTCCTGACATCAGAGCAGTTAAGGGTCTGACAGGCTGTCTCCTTTAACACATCGTGGTGTTTGTGGCCTTTACTGTGTGGGTCACTACACAAACACACAAACAGCGTCTAGTATTGGTTTGGATGCCTGAGGAAAACACCATAATTCAAGGAGTCAACGGGCCTTATAGGCAGACTTGTCCTACTCATCAATACAAGCATTCTCAGGAGCTACCTTAATATACCCCTTGTGGTTTCGTGCTAATAATACAGCAGTATGGGAGAGTGGGAGAAGATTTTAAAGCAATCAATACAGCCTAAGCATGGAATTAATGCACAAAGTTTCCAGAGATGTTTCACTTTGAAGAGTGTAATTGCTCTGTTTAAGCTGGATTTTGTATTGCATGTCTGTTACACTGATTGACTGTTTGCTTTAATATGCTTTTATAATTGTGATCAACTTTTTTTTGTAATGTGTCCAATTTTAGCCAGGTCTCAATTGAAATAGGCATGGGAAATCTCAGGTGAATTCTTGGTCAAATAAAGTTAAACTGAAATTGATTTTAAATGGTAGAAAAGCTAGAAAATAAGGTACTGTTCAGTGTGCTGCTGTATTGCGCTGTCTGAGCCAAGCTTTCAGGGTTTGTCATTTGGTTTGAAATCACAGCAGACATGTAGATCAGGTAATTTTTCCCTATTGTGAGATGAATGTAATATACTACAATATATAGTATGTCCAGCAGATTTTGAAGGAGTTCATCTTTTTTTTCTTAAAAGAAAAACTTCACCCCCAAAGTGATCATTTGTTTATCATTTACTCACCTCGTGCTACATTTAATTCAGGAAGACAATTTATTTTTCGCTTATGCCTCAACAGTGAAAGAAGAATCCAAAAATGGGAAAGAAATCTTGATGAACTGAATTCATTGGGGGACCACATTTAACAACAGTACAACTAAATAAAAACATCCGTTTAACTCTCACACAACTCATACAGTATAATCCAAGTCACATTTAGTCAGTCTTATGCTCAGTACTTCCCAAACACAAGCATTCTTGTGAAAACTTTACAATGAAAAAGTCCAGTGTGTAGGATTTAGGGTGTTTTCACGCCTGCCCTGTTTGGTTCGGATCAGCCGAACTCAAGTTCATTTGCTCCTTAAGTGCGGTTTGTTTGGGCAGGTGTGGACCAAAACAACCGGACCAAGACCTTTTTGAAGAGATGGTCTCTGTCCGGTTACAAACAAACTCTGATGCGGTTCATTTGTGGTGAGAATGTGTTCCGACCTCGATCCGAACCAACTGCACGTATTACACATTGTTTGGGTTAAACATGAGCATGCTACAGTCCTGGAGGATTATTAATGTGCGCCTTCTCCTGTACTGCCTTAATATGCACATTCAGCACATCCAATGCATCAAAACACTGTTTTCTAGTTGGAGCCGTGCCTCGTTTTCAAACTGTATGGTTTGACTAAAATGAACAATGACAGCAATATAGTACACGATGACCAGTGCTAAAATCAATCTGCGTAGTTGTCCCTCCATTCTGACATTAGAAAGTGTCACATTTATCTTATAAGTGTACTCTTCTTCAACGTTTTGTTTACTTCCTGGATTTTTCCCACATGGAAATTCTGACAAATCGAGAGCAGCTTTCTCGCACAAGGCATTTTATCTGGTCCGCTTGTAAATGCTGCCGTTAGAACACAAAACAACTCCAGGCAATTGTGCAACTTAACAAAATTAGTCCCTGATTCAGACCAAAGCAAGACAACTCTAGGTCTGAAAACAGCCGTAGTGGCATCTAGTTGTGAGGTTGCAGAGCTGAAACATCTCCCGTGTGCCAAGTGTGTAGGAGAACTATGCTGGCCTACGTGAAAATGCAAATGGCTTAATAGCCCTGTCTAGAGTCAGTGTTTGATTTGTCTGCCCTGGGCTACTGTAGAACAACATAGCAGACTTTGTGGAAGAGGACCTGTTCAATATAAAGATATAAACAGCTCATTCTAAGGTAACAAAAACGCAACAACTCTGAGTTGAACAAAAAAATAGTAGCCAATACATGCCCCAAAATCCTACACACTGGACCTTTCAAACTTCTGCATAAAAAGCCAGGTGCACACTTGACCGTGCAACAATTGATTTACAAATGATCATTTGGGGAGTGAAGAATTTCTCTAAAAGAGAAGAGCAGCACTTCTGTATGTGTGTGTCTGTGTTACTGTCACTTACAGGCAGGCCTCTGAGTCCAGGCTCCCCAGCCTTTCCTCTCCGTCCCTGAGGAAGATACAAGTGAGAAAAAGAAAAAAGATTAAGATGAGTGAGTGAAGATGCAACAACAGGTGTGTCTGGGCATGCATGCTGCCAGCAATTAAGGCTAGACAGCAACTCCTGTCGCAGTCTCTAATTTGCTTTTAATTAACAACAAGAAAACAGCTTAATTGCTGCACCCCGTGTGGCCCACTAGTCTTTGTTCCCTCCTCTGGTTTACTGCCTCCTTTCCAGCTGTGTGAGTCCCTCGGTGCATCAATCAACCCAAAGAGCAGATACAGCAGCAAACAGGCCGAGCTAGCCAGTGCTGTCCAGCGCTGCAAAACGAGGTCAGCAGGAAGGGACCAATTTGAACCACTTTTGCTTGTTTCAAGGCATATTTTGTCACATTTTGTGAATTGCAAAAAAGCCCTTGTGCTTGAAAGTCTCCGAGTCTTGAAAAGCTGACATCTTAATGAGATGTAATGTGATCTGAACCAAACCAAAGTTGGTATAATTTACATCAAGAGGGTTTATGTCCTCGTGAGAAAAGAGGATAAAGCTCTGTGGATATTCTTACAGCTATCCCATAAACTGGCAGAGCATCACTGGCTCTGTGTTATAAGGGGGGCCTGGAATTAGCTGGCTTTCACACACACAAGACGGATGTAAAATCAACTCAATTAGGAGATGGTAATACTCTGGCCAGTATCAATTCACTGTATGGCAGTGTAATCAAAGGCACAAGTATGAGACAATGCAGATATCTGTATTACGGCTACACATGATTACCTCTTTCTAATAGGAGTTTCATCATCTGACACAATTGCTATATTGGAACATTGTATCTCTCCTACTGTATGTGTCAGTATGGGTGACACAAAAACACTTCTCTCCTCCACCCGGTTAGTGGTGGTGTAGATCTGTGGAGAGGGAAGGATCACTGGCTGCTGAAAGCAAAGCAGAGAATCACAAAGCAACGCCCCCGAATCTTTCCTTCTGACACTCCATGCACACAGACTTTGATTAACTGGGTCGAATTTGACGTGTACGTTTGCCTGCAAAAAAGAAAAAGACAAAGGAAGGAGCCTCACTGAGAGCGATTGCTTTTAATCATCTGTTTGCATGTGCGCTCATGCTTACATGCTGTGTGTGTTTCTCTGTTTGTAGTCCACAGATTACAGGATTAATGAAAACAGGAGAAGCCAAGGTGTAGTACAGTAAACATTAACCTTAATAATGACACAGTGGAACCAGTGTGTGCCTCCTTTTGGGAATTGCACGCTTTCTTCTGTTCATGCTGTTTGATGTACCAACAAAGGCCCGGCCAGCGCCTTTTGATCATCCGTGTTAATGTTGCTTTGAGGCTACATATGCTTTAATGTGAGCATGAATGAGTGCTACGACGAGAAGAGCTCGAAGACTGTCGAACTGTGTTGACGTGCAGGAACAGCACCTTTAAACTCTAAAACCCTTTTCTTTAGATGACTGACATTATATTGCACTGGAATAACCTCTCAAAATGTAATTGAGGTTGGTTGCCTTTGTCGCGCAGGAGAAGAGAAGTCAGAGTGGCAGGCGAAGTATTCAACGACTGCTCGTGCACAAGGGTGCCGTATGTAGATTCAAAACACATCACTTTTGTGTAAAAGGTCTATTTCTCACAAACAAAGACAGTGTTTCGGTGAGGGTGGATGGTGTTGTTTTTCCCTCTTTCACTGATAATGAATAGGCTGACACTGAATCAGTGCTACGTTTGCAAAAAGTTCAGACTGTTTGTTCTAGCCTTATCCCCTCTCTGCTGCCCTTTCTCCCCTGAACTCGACAACAAAAGCAGATTACATAGATAAGTAATTTAGCTAATGAATATTTCATATGCTATTATTCCAAGCAGGTCATGAATTATGCAGTTTTCAAAATTATTTCTCTACATTTGCCCTTAAACCTCTTTTAACGCCAAAGTGCATACTAATTTTATGTCCACGTATTTGCATATTATCATCAAAACAAACAGAGTTGCTCTGGATCACAGTTTTCAACAAATGAAGTCAGAGGAACTAAATGACGACGCCATATTACCAAACTCACTGTAGGCCTGAAGCTCACTTGTACAGTTCTCTACAAGTTATAAAATGCTTCCTGATACAGTGGTATGATTTTGCTTCTGACTTAATTTCCACATCTGAAAAAGCCCTTCAGGAAATATTTCCTACTGTTTCAAAAATGTAGTTCTGGCGTTACATTCTGCTCACAAAAAGGAATATTAGTTTAATCTTTAATCACTGCCTTCATTAGCATAGTCACATTGGATTTATATTCACTTGCCAGTTTATTAGGTACACCTACCTTTAACTAAAGCTTTGTACGACAACCATCCTGCTATAAATCCTAGCAGTATGATGAATATAAAGGCCAAGACACATTAAACCAATCGACCATTATTCACTTGTCACACAGAATTATGACAAGCGATCCTGTCAGCTCCTTCAACTTGTACTCTGGCAATTAGTCCTTTTTAGTGCTTCGTACATCGTAAGCTGCTGCTTTATAATTGTCATGTTTTCAGATGTCTCTGGTAATCACTGGTTTCAGATTGTGGTATGATGACAGTTGCCTCTGTTGTTTTATAACAAATAAATCCACCACATACTCAGTGAATTCATTGATGTCATTGGTGACGTCAATGGTGGTTTCCTGGAATGTGCCCCAGACTCTGACTGGCTCCATCTCCAGCATCACTGGGGCTATGCATCACACTTAGTTTACATATCCTGACCTCCTGAACATGGGCAGAACTGCTCTACAGCCACCTCTGCACAGCACATGATCCAGAGTGTTTACTCCCCTTGTGGCGCTGGGTGAGCAGGAACTGGACAGCACCTCACATTCCCACTGTCACACCAGTCCTTATTCACTTCCTCCCATTGTCTCGCCAGAGCCCTCTGATTTATCAGATCAGCATATAGAAAAAGAGTCACCTGGTTGAATGGTAGTGTCCAAGATTTAGCCAAGTTTCAGTGGATCAAAGTATGTTACAGTTCCTGATATCTGGTGGTAAGTTCATATCAAAGGCATGGCAGTGACAAAGGCAAAATGTTGCACAGCCTCCCATCTGGGCCAAAAAGTTGCACTTGAACACACCTAAAAGTCTACAGCTGGCGGTCAAATAGCACATACATTGCATGCCTGCACGACAGGAAATATATCTCCATACCAGCAGGTGGCAGTACTCTGTAATTGTCTTTCAAAAAGGGAAACCATAAGATCTAAGACAGCGGATTTACAAATCGCTATGATACATACGTGAAACAAATCAGTGTTTGACTACCATTTTCACACCACTTTCTTTCACCACTCTGTCTTCAGTTGCTTCATTTCAGATGGAGATGAGATGAGATAAAAACTGAGAAGAGCCTTCTTTGTGTACCCTCTTGACTTTAATGTCTGCTTGCTTTCTTCATTTCTGTTTCTCATTTCTGATTTGCTTAAGATGAACAGCCAATCACAGCGACCTCTCTCTTATTGATGGACTCTGCCGCCAATTCAACATGCTCAATCAGCTGAAAATGTTCAGTTTTTGTTGAAACTGATGTAGAGAGGTGATGATTCAGAGACTGTAGCTTGTGGTGCTGCTGAATTTTATACTGTTTCACTGTGAAGTGTTTCTAATATTTACCCTAACCTCACTGACATAAACAAGGTGTTCTCAGTATCAGGTACGTGTAGGTGAGTGTAGATAAACTTGGTGTCTATGTTGGAAGTTCATGTCAGAGTTATTTTTCTTTAGTAAGATATTCATTTATTATTCATAAACAGAAACAGCTCAGACAATCATTTTCTCAACAAAGCAATCCATTATAAAGACTACGCCAGGTGACCTTGGGGTTAGACTGACACTTCTCTGTACAGAGGACCTCTGGTTCCTCTGGTTAGCACGCCATCCCCAACAAATCTGTGCACAGTGACAAGAAATAATTAGTCCAGAGCACAGCTGTCATCACCGTTTGCACTCAGTTGACTCCAAACTGAAACACCTGCCAGTGACACAGCGAGATAACTGCCTCTGAAGGAACAAACTGGCTCTGCAATACTGAGATAATCAAGATGCCAGCTACTGCCATAGTGCCCATGAGCACCCAAATACTACAATAACAGTTTTAACAGTTTAGCTTTTAGCACAAGTGTTTCAGAGTGTTAACCGGGGGTCTTAAGTTGAATTCTGTGTTAATGCCATTTCAATGATTTGATCAAGTCTAAATGTCATGTTTGGACCTCCTAGACTTTTATAAAAGCGTAACTTAAGGGATATACTGACATTTTGAATTGAGGTCATTTTATCATCATGTCCAGTCATGTTAAAGCTTTTATTTCCCCTCACTTATTCTTAACAGTTTGTTGGTGTGTTGACACTGCAGAGAACAATACATGCTTTTAGGTACAAGCTAAAAAAAACCTCACTTTGATGGAGTGTTAACAATGTCAACATCTACTTCACAGAGCCAAAACATCATATCATATATTCAGCATTTATAACTGTTACTTGTGCTTTTCTGAAGAATAGACAGTGTTTAAGTGACACCAGTGCATTAACGGTTTAAGCACTAATTCCAGGAATCCTGCATCTTTATACAAAGCTTTAATATAAGGCTGCCCCCGAATAGTCAACCACAAAGGTCATTAGTTGGCAAGATTTCATTGGTCACTTAGTCATAGAAAAAACAAACAAACAAGCAAACCTGAAACTCTATTAACAGCTGGGCCCTGTCAAAACAAATCAAAACCTATATGACTGGACCATGTGCGAATTTAATTTGAAAAGACAGACACAGAAGGAGGTCAGCGGTCAGACAGGAGTCACGTTACAAACCAATCACAGCCGACAGATATCTTTCCCTTCTTCTGTAAATATTCAGTCTGATAAATACAGAACAGTTGATCATGTTAGTGCAGGGCTACCCAGAGCTGTACATCTGTCATACAGACGATAGGCCTACACACTTATAAACAGCGCCTGGAAGGAGATCAGC